AGAGCGATTGATATTGACTTTCCTCTAATTCTCCAATTGGAACAACTTTTTCTGGTTCTAATTGAATATTAGATATATTTGGACTGTCTGATCCTTGCATCACATGATAAATATTCCAATCTTCTTGAACTATTTGACAATTATTACAAACTTCTTGATCTCCCAAGTTTTACATAGGCATTTTCCTGGCCCTTTACTATTAATTACGCCAGTACTATTGTGACTTTGTTGCTTAATATATTCCAAATACCTTGGGTGATTCTCGATCATTGATTTGAAAAGTACTTTTGGTTATTTCTGCCTTATAAAATGGAACTGCTATGGTGTCTTCTAACTCATCTTCTAATTCTAGTTCATCTACTGGGTCAATGACTGTATATTTTGTTAGGTCTAATTTTTGAGAACATGTGACAGGAATTTGTTGTTGGATTCCTTCATATTTAATGGTGATGGTATTCTATCCATAATCGATGTTTGCATTAACCTTCTTCAACCATTCGTTACCAAGCAGAACATTATATTCAGCTGAGTTTGTGACTATCATATTAACATAGACTTTAATATCCCTCATTTGTACTGGAACTTGCTGAACCATTCCTAATGGTGATGATTTTTGTCTTATTACATCGATGATTTTAATATTCGTAGGTAATTCAATTCCTTTATTGACTTTATCTAGGAATCTTTTAGAAATAATACAACCTACAGCTCCTGAATCTATTAGGACATTAACAGGTTGTCCATATACAATCGCTTCTCCATACAAAGCTTCTTCAGCTCTTTCTTTTTGATTAAGATATACTGGTTCTTCTCTAATCAATTGGTTAAGAATATCAGTATAATAATTAACTAGTGTTGGGGTTAATTTATTATGTTTCACCATAAATTGGAATTGTTCAAAAAAAGTAATTGTCCAAGCTCCTTGTTTTTCAGGTTCAGTTCGCTATAACTCTTGATAATCAGGTACTTTCATTAAATGAACATCACAATTAAAAGCTGGATCGTTAAATAAAAATATACATTTATCTTTTTTAATATCTAGCGCTGTTTCTTCTTTTGTTTTTCTAAGCACAGCTTGAAGAGAAGATTCACGATTTTCTACTTTTCCTCCTGCTACTTGCCATAAATTATACATTGTTTTATTTTCTGTAGTTGTTTCGATAAATAAATTCTAAAGTTATTATATAGAATGTTGAGAACATATGTAGGTCTTTTTAATAGTTGAATTGGCTTTTCAATAGGTCTGATTTCTTCTAATGGGTCCTTCCAATTCACTCTTTTAGTACTAATTTCGTTAGAGGGTTTTCTAAAATTCGCACTCTCCCCCTCCAGAGGTGCACTTAGTAGTTTAAACGACCATTATTTTGGAAACCATTATTGGTTCTATTATTGCTATTATTATTATTTGATGGTGGTGACCTGCAATTCCTGGATACATGTCCTTTTCTTCCACAATTGTAACAATCAACATTCCTTAAATCTCTCTCATTATTGTTGCGATTATTATTGTTTTGTTGATTATTTTTTTGACGACAGTTTTTTGTGATATGTCCAGTTCTTCCACAGACATAGCATCCTGAATTATTCCTGTTTTGATTATTATTGTTGTTATTATTTGGAGTAGGGTTGGTTGGTTTAATTTTTGTGCGCATTTGGCTTAATGCTACAGTAATTCCTTCGCTGATTTTCTGTTCAACCATCTTTTCTACACTTTCTGGTTGGGAATAACTCATCAAATAGGCAGGTTGATACATGGCTAAGTTGGTTCAAGAAGGGATCATTCCTCCATTCATATTTTGTAAATAACCTGGCATCATTGAATAAACTGATAGGTCCATTCCCATTGAAAAAGCAGTTTCTAATGCTTGTGCTTTTTCCATTGCTTTTTCTACTGTTTAAGGCATAGCAGATTGTACAGGTACAACAAACTCAGATCTTAAACCTTCGATAAATTCATGAATTTTATCCAATTCCATTCATCTATCTGTAAGATCCACACTTTTCCATAATTTTGTAATTGCTGCGATATATTCTTCAATTGTTTCACCTTGCTTTTGTTTCCTATTTCGCAGTTAATGTTTCCATTGACTAATTCTAAAAGGATTACAGAAATGATCCTTAAATAAGTGCGTAAATGATCGTTGGGGGTTATTATCATTCTCCCAAAAAGTAATATTTTGACGATTGTACCAAATTAATGCTGTCCCTTTTAAATTGGATGCTACTAAAGATGTTAGCCGTAACTATAATATTAAGACACAGTGTCGTATATAATAGGTTGCGACCTATCTACATTAAAAAGCAAAAGTTGTAATGCTGTAATTAGGTTGTAATGCTAATCCGTAATGCCGTAATTCCGAAATTACGTATGTAATTTCGGCCAGAATTATGCACTTAATTTTAGCAGAAATTAACAAATATCCTAAAAAGGAAAGTGTTGTTACACAAAATTCCAGTGTCGTTCCCACTAAAATCAATTTTTGTGGAACGGCTATCGCCAAAAAAGGAAAGATCTGCATTCCCGTTTTGGCTGAATTATGATTTTCCTGTCTCTTATACACATCTAGATGTGTATAAGAGACAGGTCCTAAGAAATATGCGAAAACTAGAGCTGGAATTCTTTGTTTTAGTCGTTGAGCTCGTAACAAATATCGGTAAGTCACATGAATTTTTGTTTTATCATCCATTTCGTCTGAATAAGGTTCGTGAGAACTATTTCCTTCAATTAATGGGTCTTGTAACACAATTTCGTAAGGCGTTATAATGAGAAAAAGTGAATCATAACAAAATAGAACGCATCTTTAAATAAGAATTTCATTGTCATACTTAATTAATTAATATTATTAATGATTAACTACTAATTTCGGTAGATCGTGACATTATTGTTCCACTAATTTAGTTTGATTGATATTTTGAAACATTTCTCCTTATTCTAAAAATAATTTTTTCTTTTCCTTAATTATTTCCACGTGTAATTATTATCAGCTGTTATTAAATTTTTCGCATCATTTTTATTATTTCGTCTAGAGCATATTTTGTCGCGTCATGTCTTTTTCTTATTTAAGAACCTAATTTTTCCTTTCCCCTTGTTCTTTACTTCTCCGCAAAATCTTTTCGCATATATCACCTTTATTAAAACTTACATATTTTTCCTAACATCCTTATTATTAAAATGGGCTGCCGTTGATCAAAAACATCCCAAAAAAAATCACAAGCTCGCTTTAAGGTCCTAAAGGCTGCTCGTAAATCACAACTTCGTCAACTTGAGGGTGAGTATTGCATGCAAGGTTCTTAAAATGTTTCTTAAACGGGGATAGCCTGCAGACGGGGTTTCGATCTTATATCCGGTTCTTGAACAGTTGATCTCTCTTTTTCGGCTTGCAGACAGGGTATTTATACCTTCAGGATATCTAGTCTTGAATGGACTCCCCCTATAGAACTTTTTTGGACTATCGATTTATTCACTTAGTCTTTGACTAACTTGGTGTTTCTACTCTCTCAATTTAATAACACAAGATCAAGTTCAAACGTTACGATCTGAAAATGATTTCTTACAAGCTGAAAATAATTTCTTACAAGAAGAAGTTGCAACTTTGACAGAGTTTGGTATCTTCCAGTCTGGGCAAATCCATCAACAAGAAGAAGAAGCGCAATCTAATAACGAACTGTGGGCTATCGTTCAAAAGGAATGTTAGGAGGCCCAGAAAAAGGTTATTCAACAAGATGAAGAAATTGTCAGTTTAAAGAACAAAGTAAAACAACTGAAAAGTGAAAATAAAAGCACTACGTATAGTACAAAATATTTTGAAACTAAATATTATCATGCAATGAGCGTTATACACAAATATGGCATGATTGTTATTAACGATAATATGCCCAAGTCTCCTTCACCTGTACCTTCNATTATCTAATGTAATGCCCATTAACTATAAATATTAAATATTGGTAAATTTGATAATTAATTAAATTAAAATCAGAATAAACTAATAAAAAATAAAAATACTTTTTTTTCCATTAAAAAATACTCTAAACCTGTTACAAATGTTTCTTTTAAATTTTGCCCAGTATGTGAATCAAACATTTCAAGAAAATCCAACAGTATATGTTGTAATTTCCAGTCCTTATCAATAAAATGTGCAGTTATTGATAAAAATGATTTGACTGAAGGACTGGTCCAGCAGTCAATTGTAAATGAAATTTTTCCTGGAATATTTAACAAAATATTTTGAACTTTTTCTTTGTCAGTTCTATAAAAATTTGAAATATGAGATTTAATTGTGTCAGCACTGGGAATTTTCGCAGTGGGGTGTAATGAATGTATAAAATTGATAAAATCTGGCTCCTTAGCAATTGTAAATGCATGTTGTTTAATAACTGTCTCTTATACACATCTAGATGTGTATAAGAGACAGCTGCTTGACTTTACACATTATATTTCATTTAAACTTTATTTATAATTAAATCTATTTACAAATGAATTAAACCTATTTATAATAATAGAAATATTATCAAAGATAAAATAAGAAATATTAAAATTATTAAACTAACTACTGTTAAACAATGATAATGACCACCACGACCTTAAACATAAACACATTCTTATAGTTTTCCCAACCAACCAGTTTCTTTTATCAGTAATCAAATTTTTTTCTGATGAAAAAACTTGCTCAGAAGGTACACTTGTAGCTGGAATTGATAAAAAATCACGTGCTATTTTAGCAAGGCTTGGAAATTGTTGCTCATTATTCTTCCACCATTCAAGTGGATCTTCATTTCCATCAAGCTGCGGTAAAGAAAGATATATTTGGTATTCATCAGCAGAACTTTCCATACAATGACGTTTAAATACACAGGACATTACTGAATTTTCTTTATTAGGAGTTTCAGTTTGATTAGATTGAATAGAAACAGCATATGATTTATTATACATATTTAAAAACCTAAAAATTTAATAAAATTATAAAATTAGTATATATAATCATTGTAAATAATATAAATAATTAGTAAAATACTAACTTTTGTTGAATATCATTTATTAATTCATCTTCCCATTCATTATCCTTGTAATATTGTAATTTCAATTTTAGATCCAAAATAGTAGAAATTAAATATGAATAATTTGTCTTGTTGTAATACTCCAGCAATTTTAATCTGCATATTTTTGCAGCATTTTTTATAATTTGACTCCATTCATTCTCATTGTTGTTGCTACTATTAGCTTCAGATTCATCATTATCTACATCTTCAATAACTTCCTCATTTTCATCTCCAATAACATTTACATCTCCAATAACATTTTCAACATGATCAATAAGAATATTATATAAAGGAATAGTAGCAGAAAGTGTTGGATAAGTAAATCCAGACATTATAGTTGTTACTTCTTTAAATAAAAATAAAAAATCCTTAATTTTTTCAAGTTCAGCCCATTGATTCTCTGTAAGTAAATATTTTTTAAGATCACGATCATTAAGTGTAACAGAATCAATGGCTTTTTACATGCCATTTTTAATTTTTCATAAAGCTGAGATCCCCCAATTCCCTCTGTCATCAATTTACAGAGTTGCCACATTGAACGGGCATTCTCATGGTCGAACGAACAAATAATCGAACGAATAAACAAATAAACGAACAAGCAAATAATCAACAGCATAATTAACAACAACATAATCAACGAACAACATGCAACAACATATAGCAACATTCTTGGTTCTCAACATAAATAGCGTTAGTAATATAAAACACCAAACGATATAAAATAAAATTTAACTTCTCTAAATTTTCATCAAGTTATATCCACTTTTTACCTTTAATTTCAAACTTCGATAGCTCTCGCTACAAATTATTACTTTTCAAAAACATATATTTAATTCATCTTAAAATTTTCATTTTATTCAATTAAAATTAATTAAGCGAATATTAATTAAAGTTTAGGGCAAACCTATTACCTTTAATTAATATTAAACTTTACTAACCGACAAATAATTAAATGAATCTTATATTTTTATTGAGTTCTGTGGATGAGAACTATAGAATTACTTTGAATTCCGCTCTCTATTTATACAAATTTTATACTACTTTCTATTCTATCTATATACTATCTTTTATGTTCTTTTTACATATTATCTTTGAACTATCTTTCTAATACGCTATCTATATTTTAAATACGCTATCTTTTAATATGCTATCTTTTTATATATATTCTTTTTAATATTCCATCTTTATACTATCTTTTTATATTATCTTTTATATTATTTTATATTCTTTAATCTTTCTGACATTATTTTATATATTCTTTTAATTCGCTTTATGTGTTTTTCTTATAATTTATCTTTTGTGGCTTATAATTATTCTTTCTAATTGTTCTTATTGTTAAAGATTGCTAAGCCGCAATTGATCGACTCTAATTATTCCATTGGTTCTTTATCAATCATTCGACAAATATTACATCATGTAGATCATTACTTTTTCTAAATGTTTATCCTTTTCGGCTAATTATTTATCCATCTACGCTAATTCATAATTAATTTGTTCGTTCTTAATATTTGGTAATTACATTTGGTGGTTGAATTTTATCATCTTTTCGTGCTTGATATTCGACCGTTTACAACACAAAGAAGAATGAATTCTATTAACAAGATCTCTAAGCTGTAAGATATAATGATTTTATTAGTATTAAAAAAAGAATTTATAAAATAATAAATAAGTTAAATAATAATTTTACCTTAGAAATTTTACTTTTCAATTGGGTCAATGCTGCTTGAACACTTAAATTAATGACATGGGCAAAACACCTAAAATGATTATCATTTTTATCAAAAGAAATTCTTTTTTCTATTGCCCAATTAGTTAATAAACGAATGAATACTGCATTATTTGATGCATTATCTAATGTAATGACCATTAACTATAAATATTAAATATTGGTAAATTTGATAATTAATTAAATTAAAATCAGAATAAACTAATAAAAAATAAAAATACTTTTTTTTCCATTTAAAAATATTCCAAACCTGTCACAAATGTTTTTTTTAAATTTTGCCCAGTATGTTAATCAAACATTTCAAGAAAATCTAACAGTATATGTTGTAATTTCCAGTTCTTATCAATAAAATGTGCAGTTATTGATAAAAATGATTTGACTGAAGGACTGGTCCAGCAGTCAATTGTAAATGAAATTTTTCCTGTAATATTTAACAAAATATTTTGAACTTTTTCTTTGTCAGTTCTATAAAAATTTGAAATATGAGATTTAATTGTGTCAGCACTGGGAATTTTCGCAGTGGGGTGTAATGAATGTATAAAATTGATAAAATCTGGCTCCTTAGCAATTGTAAATGCATGTTGTTTAATAACAATCCATTTTACCAAATTATTTATCATTTCATTATGATTATATGACTACTAAATAATAATACAATTATCTATTAATAAATAAAATATTATGAAATAAAAATAAAATAAGAAGTTATTTTTACCTTTGGTGCTTTTAACATTTCTAAAACATTTACTCCAGTTGACTGAGTTTCTTGCTGTATAGAATAAACATTTTTTAAATGTTTTGTTATATTCGTAGTACTACTCCTAGAACATATATAAGTTTTACTGCAATAAGTACAAGTAGCTCTTTTATTATATTTAAAATTTTTATCTTTTTCGAAATGGCTTTATACAAAACTGCCTTGATTATTTTGAGCATTTTCTAACGATTTTAAATTACTTAATCTTCTTGCTGGTATTGCCGGTAAGGACGCATCAATTTCATCCTCAGAATTATGACAACTTCCTTCATTATTGTCTTCTGCGTCTATAGTTAGTTTACAAAAAAAAAACTGAAAATTTTAAAAATTTTTTTTGGTGCTACATATGGGATAAGCACAGTAAAACAAAGGGATAGCCTCAAAAAAAAATTTCTTATGTTTATATGATAATTATGCTCCAATTTATCCAAAAATTACAGTTGTAATGAAATCTCAAAAAAAATTTTTTAAATCTTATCCCCTTGTTTTGCTGTGCGTATTCCCATATGTTGGTTGATCATCATGATTATCAACTTAGTGTTCCAAACGGATCAAATCGGATGAATCCGATTTTGACTCGAATCCATTATTTAAAAAACGTTACGTAATGTTTTTTATTTCAATTTAACGAATAAAAAACCGTTTCACAACGGTTTTTTAATTATTTTAATAAAAAATGTTGTGAAACGTTTTTTATTTTAATTAAACCGTTTTGCAACGGTTTTTTAATCATTTTAATAAAAAAATGTTGTGAAACGTTTTTTTATTTCAATTTAATGAAAAAGAACTGGTTCGCAACAGTTTTTAATTATTTTAATAAAAAACGTTGTGAAACGTTTTTTATTTCAATTTTTAATAAAAAATAAACCGTTTCGCAACGGTTTTTTAATATTTTAATAAAAAAAACGTTCACAAAACATTTTTTTATTTTATTTAATAAAAAAAAACTGTTTCGCAATAGTTTTTTAATTATTTTAATAAAAAATGTTGCGAAACGTTTTTTTATTTCAATTTAATGAAAAAAAACCGTTTCACAACGGTTTTTTAATCATTTTAATAAAAAAACATTGCGAAATGTTTTTTTATTTCAATTTAATGAAAAAAAACCATTTCGCAATAGTTTTTAATTATTTTAATAAAAAACGTTGTGAAACGTTTTTTTATTTCAATTTAATGAAAAAAACTGTTTTGCAACAGTTTTTTAATATTTTAATAAAAAAACGTTTGTGAAATATTTTTTTATTTCAATTTAATAAAAAAAACCATTTCGCAATGGTTTTTAATCATTTTAATAAAAAAATGTTGCGAAACGTTTTTTATTTTAATTTAATGAAAAAAAAACTATTTCGCAACAGTTTTTTAATATTTTAATAAAAAAACGTTTGTGAAATATTTTTTATTTCAATTTAATGAAAAAAAAACCGTTTCGCAACGGTTATTAATCATTTTAATAAAAAAACGTTGCAAAACATTTTTTAACAATTAACTTAACAATTCGCAACATTTTCAACTTAATAACAGGGCATTTTTTTCATCTTATTTTATGAAAAAAGGCCTTTTGGATCTGATCCGATCCGATTTGTATGAATTGTTGATCCAATTTGATTCGATCCGAATCAGATCAAATTTTTTTGATTCAGATCAGATCACGGATCATAAAATCTATGATTCGATCTGATCTGTCTCAGATCAGATCTGCGGATATGGATCAGATCAGATTTTTTTCAGAACATTACAAATGTGTATTTTTTTATTAAGTTATAATAAAAATTAAAATTTACTTTAATTTTTAACATAAAAATTGTAAATAATAAAAAATTCGTAAAATAAATTTGCTTTTCCAAACTTAAAAAAAAAGGTATTTATATAAAAAAAAGGTGTTTATATAAAAAAAAGGTGTTTATATTATTTTTGATTATTCAATAGTATTACATGCCTCTTATATACGTTCTACTACATACGTTACTTTAACGATCGAATATTAATATTACGCAGGTTTACAGTTTCATAAATTTTTGAAATATTTTAACTGTAATATTACGCAGGTTTACAGTTTCGTAAATTTTCAAAATATTTTAACTGTAATATTGCATAAATCTTACGATATTGAAAACTTGTGTAATATTTTAACCATAATATCACATAAATCTTACGAAATTGTAAACTTATGTAATATTTTAAAATTTTTTGAAATATTATGCCATAAATTTTCGTAAACTTACAAAATTGTAAACTTACGCAATTTTTTGCACTATAAAATTTTCTGATGTGGAAGTTTAATATTTACAGCACAAAGAAATCTTTTAAAAGTCTAGTTTCTAGATTTGCATTTTCAAAACTAAAATCTGGCTAATATAATTTATAAATACAAAATTACTAATAAAGTTAATAATGATGCATCTGTATTACTTATAATATTAATGCAAAAGAAAGCTAAAGACTTATATTAGGTTGTTAATTTTGAATTAGATAAATATAATAGATTAACTTGTCTTCTTTAGATGTTTTTAGATCAGGTGAATTTATGGTTTAAATATCATGATGTAGTTATCAATAATAATACAGCTTGAATAAATCAGTATCAAATGCCGTTGGAAGTTTTCATAATAATTAGTATTAGTAAGTAATAAATCTTTTGATATATATACATATATGAATATTTAAATACATCAAAAAAATAACTGAAATAGCTTTAATTGTGATGTTTACTGATGCTAATTCAGCTTTTGATGCAGCAATTCCAATTGTTTTTTCTAAAATATATCCAATTCACTATATTTTTCATATTGCACAAAATTTACCTAAAAATTTGAAAGTAAAATTAGCCAGTGAAAAAAATAGGACAATTTTATCAAACAATTTTATCAATGCCATAATAATTTATGTGAACCATTATTTAAACAAAGATGGAATTAATTACTTATTAATTATTCAATGACAAAAGATTATCTTTTACATATATTAGATCAAAATTTTAGATTCTAAGCTTAAGCATACTTTTATAAAATTTTTATAGTTAGTATTAAAAGTATTGCAAAAGTTGAAGATTATAATTAGTAGATTATAAAGAAATAATTAAAAACTAATAGTATTTTATGTAAGATTGCTGATCAACTTGATTTAAGATTAAAAAATGAAGAGCAATAAAATTAGTTTTACAAATACAAGCAAGCTACTACAATAAATACTTTTTCTGTGGTTGGGTAAGATTTGTTTTCTATAGACTATAGTAACAAAAATTCTTGATAAATATCTTATTAAACTTATTAATAATACAATTAAGACAGAAATATCTCAATGTTTATTTGTTACTGCAAATATGATTGAGTTTAATAACAAAAAATTAAATTGTAAGCAGGTATGTTATTATTAAATAACTGAATTGCAATATATTTTAGTATTAAATAATATCTTGCTATTATTAAAGGAAAATTCCTATAGATCATTAGATAGTTTTATTGAAAATTAATATGATGCATGTTTTATTACACTTCAAGTTATGATTAAAAAAATAGGACAAGAAAAAGTATTAGAAATATGGGAAGTTATAGATATATGAAGTGAAAGAAAAAGTCATATACATTTTATTATTATTGTCAATGCAATATCCTACCTGTATTCTTGTCTTAAATCTATCTCAAAGGAAATAATATATCATCACTATTTTTGTGTTATAATGAATTTCAAAACTGCAATATTTCACATTAGCATAATAACTTAAAGATGGTATAAGGATATTTACCAAGATGAGATAAATCTATAAGAAAAAGTAATATTTAACAATAAAGAAGATATTTATGATAATAAAACTATAAACAATAATACATTACCATATGAAAGCCTGTCACAATTCCAATAACTGTTCCTATTCTTAAAAAGGCCATTCATAAAAGAAATTTATATGGTCGTATATAGAAATTAATATGAACAACTACTTTACTTGCAGTTAAGTAAGAAGATGATGAAATAACTCTTATTTTTCAAAATTATATTAGAAAAAAATCTAATTAAAATACACTTTTAATAATAATTGATAAAAGATCTACTATTGATGAAATATCTGATTATCCCTAAGAAATTCAAAGAAATTATAATGATACTAATTCTAGAATAAAGAGTAGTAGTTAGATAGAGGAAGATAAAACTGAAAAAGACAGAGAAATTATAGATACAAACCTTTAAAATATGAAAAATCTGAATAGGATTATTACTAAAAATCAGTTATCCAAGTAAAGATATTTGAGTAGTGTGAAAAAGGAATAGGATGTTTGAAGAAAACCCAAAACTAGAGACTCTTATAAGTATTGTGTTTGCAATGAAATAGGACATAATGCCACTTTCATAAAAATGTGAATAATAAATAACAAGCCTAGGGGACAAGGGAAATGATTTTAATTATAGGTTTATGTTATATAATATATTTGGCAGTTTTTTTCAATTTAGAATAGTGTAGCCATATATGTAAATACATTTTTTTACAAATATAATGTGGTTATTTATAAACCAATAAAAATCGTTAAATTTTCATAAAATATGAAGTATGAACTGTTTTAAAAGAATAAATTTATTTTTTTAAAAAAAAAATAGCTTACTTTAAAGTTCAGAGTTGTTTGGCAATTTTTTTTACTTTACGTGAAAATTATATGAATTGCATCCCAGGGGTTAGATTTAAGCATTATATAAGGTGATAGATATAAATTTACCCTTTATTTTATTTATTTTTATTTTATTTATTTTATTATTTCTTTTTAAAATTACTACTTAATAAAAAAATTTTCTAAAAGAATTTTAAAAGAAAAAAAAAAGCAAATAACATTATTTACAAAGGAAAATAAATTGGTTAAATGATGGAAAAATTGGTTAAAATGCAAATTTTCTGTAAAAACAAATATATACTTAAATATATTTAAATTTCTTTAAATATATTAAATATATTTTTAATTTTCTTATTTTTATACTTATACTGAAAATATTTTTTATAATTAAATTACACTATTTTAGTATATTTTTAAATATATTTTAAGTATATGGTATATTTTAAGTATATTTTAGTAAAAAATAGTTAATTTAAATTATAAGTAAATATTATAAATTTGGTAACTAAAATTGGCTAATTTAGTGATTAAATAACAAATTTAATGACCAATTTCATTGTAACAATATATTACCATATATAGGACATTTAAAGCAAAGTAATTACATAATAATAATAAAATATTTGTCATATATTCCTTATTATTGATTTGATTTGTTATTATATATACCAAAAAAAAAGTCTTCTATCGTATAAAATCTATTCTTAAAAGAATTATTCCTATAATATATCAGAAATCACACTCCACCAGTATAACCGGATCAGCCGGATCAACAGGATCAACTGACGGATAATTTAATATCCAAATAGTCATATTTTTACACATTGATCCACAAGACATATAATAAAACATAATTACCAAAATCTGCTAATATTGATGAAATTAAAATTTAGTAAACAATATCACAAGTCTACAACCAAAAGAATGGACAATTACTTTGACATACCATAAATACCATAAATATATTACAGGATCTATAATAATTGAATAATTAACGAATAGCTAATATGATAATAATGACACGTTGACAATAAGGAAGTTGACATTATTTAAAATAACGTTTCGATTAAAATTGTTCAACACTTTTTGTGATACATGGACTAATCGATAAAAATGTAAAAATAATGTAGATCAATAAAAAAATTAAATTACGATTTACAATATAGACGAATCTTTTTTTAATTATTATTAAATATGAAACCTTTTTTTTTTTATATGAAACTTTTTCCTATGCGAAATATAAACAATTTTGATGATATAATGAAATAAACTTTTTTATTCATCTAAATTAATATAATAAAATATTAATACTTTTTAGTAACCCAAATCCTGATTTAGAATATTTATTAATAACAAATTTTTTTTTTATTCGACAAAACAAGGATTTTTTTGTATCACAAAGTTTTATACGAATTTCTTCTACATTTCTCCTATGTTTCGTATTATACAATATCTCTTTAAGAGGAAAGTTTGAATAACAAAGAATCATAAACATTTTTACAAAAATTCGAAAATAATGAAATATTTTTTTTTTCTGTACCGTAACAAAAAGTATTAATTGAATGATAACTTTTTTATCTATATGCGGTTAAATTAATTAACATAAATTCAGGGTTTATAACCAGTATTATAAGTATTATTATTTATTAACTACTAAATGTTGTGATTTGTGTCACATAATATTAGTAATACAACGGTAGTCGACAGGTTTTACATCAATAAAGGGTCTTTTTTTTACATAAAAAGACTGAAAATCAACTTTAAAAAAGTACCGTTATTCTGGAAATAAAAAAAAGTAAAAAATCATCCATAGTTTTCTTTCGTATCTTTCTATCTTTTTCGCACGCACATACATACACACATCTAGATTATATTTATTTATTTATTTCTATGATTTACTAAATTATTGTTTTTATTATTATTGTCCGTTATTATTATCTTTTTTATTGAACAAACTGGTTTTGTTAATTTCAATAAGACGAAAAAATAAATTTTTTTTTTTTTTTTTCAGAATAAAAACGGTTTTCCCTTATCGATTGTCAATAAATCCAATCCATTCTTTCTTATTAAACCATATATATTATTATTATAATTATAATTATTAATTTGAATGACACATGTGCTAAATTTCATCATTCATTTGATAAAAAAAATCAATCCCTAAATTTTGATTGTCTTTTTACTAAATTAGATTATATATTTTCCCTATTTAAACAAGGAAAAAAAAAAAATGACAACAATTTCTTTACATAAAGATACTCTTCAACCTCAAAATTTGAAAGGTTTAAATGGTTTAAATAATAGATTAACCAGGAATAGAAATAATCATCCCACTTTATCTCGTAGTATACCGAAAATTAATTTACCCACTCCCTCTCCAACTCCGGTATCTCCTTGTTTCGTTCATTCTAGTTTTGATCCTACATTCTTATTTAAGGATATTATGGATAGATGTGATAATGAACCAACTGATTATTCGGAGTTAGCTGAGACAACTAACTGCGTGCGTAAAATATCGAAAAAACTTGGTTAGTATCCAAATTTTGTTGCTTTCACTTTGTTTAATATACTTTATTAATAAATTTTTTTTTTTTTTTTCTTTTTTACTAAAGGTCAAGCACGTATACAAAATGTTGTAAAAACTGTGATGATTGTTACGAAACCGGGAGATGCACGATTGGTCTCCTTAACACGTGAAATAGTATTATACCTGTCTCTTATACACATCTAGATGTGTATAAGAGACAGCAGTATATGTTAATAAGGATTTTAAAGATTCAAAAAAATTTGATTTTCCGGGATTATTAAAATCCACCCCCTTGGTTAATGATTATTTGAAATTCTGGACGGAAGAATTATGTTCAGCGAGGACCGAAATTTTTAATTTCGTTATCACGGTAAATTAATTAAATTTTATTCTATATCATATATAAATATATATTTTTAAACTAATTCTTTTTTTTTTTTTTTATTTAGCTTGGAGGTGATGGAACTGTGCTATTTACATCATGGTTATTTCAAGAAGTTGTTCCACCAGTTTTACCTTTCCATTTAGGTTCTTTGGGATTTTTAACAAATTTTGATTTCAAAAATTATAAAACTCATTTAACAAATGTAATGGAAAAAGGAATTAGAGTAAATTTACGTATGAGGTTCACATGTACAGTATATCGTAGTATACATAATCCTGGGAAGGCAACAAGATGTGGTGAAACTGGGGAAATTATGATTCAAAATCCAAAAGATAGTGAATGTGATACTCAACATGAATGTGATCAGGATAAAGCATTAACTTGTGTAATCACTAAACCTACTGAATCTTTTGAAGTATTAAATGATTTAGTAGTTGATCGTGGTTCTGGTCCTTATATGAGTCTATTGGAATTATTTGGTAAGATATGCACTGTTAGTCATTTATTTAATTAATTAATTATTTTTTAAATTAATTTTTTATTTTTTTTTTTCTTTTTACGCAGGTGATGATCAACATTTGACAACAGTGCAGGCAGATGGTCTTGTAATCTCAACGCCGACTGGTTCAACAGCATATTCAGTATCAGCCGGTGGTTCATTAGTACATCCTGAAATACCTGCATTACTTATAACTCCAATTTGTCCTCACACTTTGTCATTCCGTCCAATGTTATTACCTGATTCTATGGAATTAAGAATATGTGTTCCATATAATAGTCGTAGTACTGCTTGGGCAAGTTTTGACGGAAGACATAGAGTTGAACTAAGACGTATGTAAAACTTTTTTTTTTTTTTTTTTTTTATAATAATTTATATACAAGTGACTAAAATTCTGTACTTTTCTTTTAGAGGGAGATCATATAAAGGTTACACCCTCAAAATATCCATTCCCAACAGTTTGTATGGACTCACAATCAACAGATTGGTTTAATTCAATCTCTAGATGTTTAAGATGGAATGAACGGGAGAGACAAAAAAGTTTTGTTGTGGTAGAAGAAGAAGCTACCGAAGAAGAAGATGAATATGAAACTAATTCCGAATCTACGGAGAATCTTGATGATTATGATTCAGGTTTTAACAGTATTAGTACTGAAAATGATGTTAAAGAAAGTAGTGATGTTAAAGAAAGTAGTCGTATGGAAATGAAAGAATCGTCGGCAATACAAGAAAAACAAGATTATCATTATCATCAACAACAACAGCCACAACAGCAGCAACAACAATATCAACAACAATATCAACAACGTCAGCAACAACATCAACAACATAGCAATAATCATAATCAACAGCTGAATCATAATAAACAACATAGAAGAGGGAATAGTAAACATTCTTTTGCTTGTGTTCGAAAAAATAATAGTGATGCTAGTAGTAATGCTAGTAGTAATAGTGGTGAAGAACAAGAATGGAAAGTTGTTAGAAGACAAAAGAAAAAGAAATCCAATAAGTCTAATAAGTCTAATAAGTGAAAAGTAAAATGTAAATTATAGATTGTACCATTCATTTGTGAAATAATTTTTTTTTCTTTTGTATAGTTTTTATATTCTGGGTAACAATGTTCGAGGGATTTGGGGGATTTTTTTTTTTGCAAGTTTTTTTCTAATTTTTTCGGTTTTAAATCATTCTTTAACATAATAATATATACATATATATATATATATAATATATACATGTATTCGCTTAATATATTATAATAATTGGGAATCAAAATTTCACTATTATATGAGTTTATGAAGAACTTCATATTTTGATTGTTAAAGAATGAACCTCTTTGTAGATATTAAATACTATAGAATAACTTAAAATTTAAATTTTTTTACATTTTATATTATGCTAATAAAAATGTGATTGTTAAACACAAACTCTTTGTGTTCGGTTCTTAACATAATTTGGCTTATCGAAATATAAGATTATTATTATTAAAAGATATTTCGCAAGGTAATCTTATACCATTCCGAATTCAGGGATAATTTCCGAATAACGAAACTACTTTCATCGTAAAGATGTAAAATGTAAAATGTCAACTTTTTTATTTATTCTGCCATAAAGATCATTTTTTTTTCCAGGTTTTAGATATTGATGGAATATCGGTTCAAATTTGACAAATAGTGATATATATTGAAACAAAAGATTAATTCAGAACCAAAAAATTATACATGTATCTTGAAAAGATATACTAATATCGGCCCAGAACTAAAATATTTAAGGATAGATTTCATTTCTTTGAACTTATCAAAATAAAATAAAAATACAATTGAATAAAAATAAAATAAATAACGACTTTTCTAAATACACCAACACGTCGACATGCGTAGAAAAATATATATATTTAAATCCCAAATTATTTATTAAACTTCCTTTATGTATAACTTTTTAAATAAATAAACTAAGCCACGTTGTCTCCTTTTCAATTTAGGAAATCGACCATTCAAATATTTTCTATATAGGTGGCGTCGCGGAAACGGTTTACGAAATTAATTATGGCTTATTATGTCTCACGTATGCCGTTAATTGTAATGGCGTGATTTTTAAAAATAATTTATAATGACGATGACGTAATTGCTGACAGCGCCTATACCTTTTTTACCGATCGATATGTAAAAATTTAAAATTCTTTATAATACAATCGGTTCGCTTTATAACGAACTCGCGTTATACCGAACTTTACAGTAAAACGAATTTCTAATGTAGTATCGGTTTCAACATGTAAAAAAATCCAGTTATACCGAATATTACTAATTAAATGTTTTATACCGTATAAAGAAGTAAACTAAATAATTATATATATTACATTATACCGCGAAAGTCCGATTCTTTCCTGGACAAAACTCGGGTTAAGGCGAGCGATTGTACGTGTATATTAAAAATAAATTTATTTAATCGATTGGGAATATGCGAGATTTTTAATGACCGGGTATGTATAGCATTAATTCCTATTGGTCACCGCAGTATTTCTAAATTCTACTATTATAACTCGCTTATATCACATATATCTTTAATGATAATATATTTTAATAGTAATTATTTTATAATATATATTTATTGCATCAAATATGAGAATCATGATTCTTTCAATTTAAAAATAAAAAAAAAACCAATTTTTAAAAAGTAATTTATAAACTATTAAATTATATAATAATTATAATACAGCTTACAATATGGGAAATAAGAAATAAAATTTATTGTTTATATTGTAATTTTAATATCCAATGATAGCTTATCGCCATTGGCATTGAGAATAAGGAACGAATTGATTACCAATAACATATAGTTGTAATATATACAATCTTAAAAATCACATTGAAAGGGGCTTTTCTTTTTTCCAAAATCTGTATGAAATTACTTCAACAACTATCAGGTTAAAATCATTCGGAAAGCAGAATGTAAAAAATTCAATGGATTATGGTACATTTCTATACATAAAAAATTGCCCCAAATTTTGTTATATTTTGAAATTAAACTTTCGTGTAATGTGTAATAGGAGATATAGCACAATAGCAGATAGATTGTCCAATTGCTCAATTGTCATTATTTGATAAATAATATTGTTGATATAACCTTGAACACAACAATCATTGAGAAATAACCCCTTATAACGAACCCCAAATTCGACATTCCCACGCATAATTCTCCTAGAGGTTATGCATGATTTTATGTGATTAATAATGTTTATTTCCTGGGTTAAGAATGAACACTCGCGTGACCAAAATAATATCATCATTCGTAACCGCCAACTTTGGTATTTTCTATGCTCAAATTGGTTATTAATGAACCTATTTACCATAGCCAATCATGTCTCCTTCTAACATCTGATATTATCATGATTAAAACATGTGCGATATAAGAATTAATTTAGTGTTTATGCTTCATTTTCCTCTTTTGGAACAATTACTCCTACCCATCAATATAATATTCACACTACCCCTGTAATAACCTTATATCACGGAATTTATCGAATTATTTACATTTTCCGTGAATGGATCCGTGAAAAGCTCATTTTTACGGGAGTTTTTACAGAAATAACGGAGAAATTTTTTCATAGGGTACATGAGGTGTAAACTGTAAAGTTTTCGTTATTACGTAAATCTACAAGATTATGTTCGCAAAAAATCTTTTCTGAGATGAAGTTTCACATCCATTGCGAAATTTCTTTTTGAATTCTTTTTGAATATGTTAAAATACCGTATTGATATGTCCAATCATCATACCTTAATTTTGATTGTGAATTTATATCATCTAACAATTTTCCTTGACACAATTTGGTATTAACTTTGATCTCGTCACGAAAATTTGATCAACGACCATTTTTTAAAAAACACTATCACGTAATTATAACATGCTTTAATAATATACTCTTTATTTTACTTGCTGAAAAAATCACTAGTTATTTTTAGTGAAAAACATTGGTACTCAAACGTAAAACTTTCCATTTTTTTTTGTTTCGTTGATCTGAATCTGAGAAATATTCGCTAAATATATCTATCTATAAAGTATAAAAATCTTCCATATAGAATGTCTCAGCTAAATCAAAATCTTTCTTTGTCGCCATATGTTGTCTTTTTTTATTTTCTCCATTCTTCGAAATCTTTCCGCCTTTCTCTCCTTTTAGGTACGCCCTCATTAACTAATCAAAGAAAAAATGTATGTTTTTCTCTCTGAAATTCCCGTATCTTGCGATGGGATTTGTGTAATTGCTTTATAATTTTTAATATCTCAATATTGTATGCTTTATGGCAGGATTTATGATTCGAGCTACAGCTCAAAGAATAACTACCTAGTAGTGTAACTTCTCCTTCCTTTATCATCGTTAGCAGTATATAATTCTATATTCTGAAATAATAATTAATATACAATTAGTATCAGTATATACATACTTTTATACTTTTTTTCGGTTTTTTAATTATATAATGCTTTACTTCTTTTTACATTGATTTCCAATGCAAAGAGCATGTAGAAATTAAAGTATCAGTTAGAAAATATAACTTGTATAAGAATTTCATATTTTAATGATGTTGTGATAGTTCTTTTATAATTGCTATTTATCAAACTAAGCTATATTTAAAATTATTATTTGATTTATTTCCAATTAGTTTAAATAGTTCTAAATAATTAATATAAATAATTAGTTCTGCTAATTTTCAACTTTTCTAACTAAAAAATACATTTACCTTTTGATCTTTTTTTTTTGATGCAAATAACTCAACACCAAAAATTCTAATAGTTTACATATATATGACACTTTATACAGTCAAAGCTCGTTATAGTGAATCTCGTTATAGTGAACATTAAGTAAAATCGCGTTATAGTAACCTATTGATTTTTTTCCTTATAATTAATTTCTCTCAATATAGTGAATTTTCTTAATGAATCTCGTTATAGTGAAAAAAAGGGAAAAAATTACATAGTGGAACAGAAAGTTCACTATAACGAGCTTTGACTGTAGTTAGTTCAAAATTATGGAAAATAAGTTCATTTCTTTTTAAAGTAATTTCATTTTGTTCTGGTAATTTGTTCATTTAAAAGGGCAGTTTAATTTATTTAGGGTATCAATAAAAGTTATAACTGTTATACCATTTATAATCTAACTATTCTACCAGTTATATATTTGGCCAAATTTTTATTTATTATATTAATATATATATATAAATTTTTTTATTTGAATAGTATTTGCATAATATTAATCATCATCTGTATTTATAAAATAGATTAACTTTTTGTATGAAAATTATCTTAATATAAAAAATTATATCTAAAAAACGTGGGTTTTTTTAAAAAATTCTTTTCCAACTTTTCAGTAATCCTTTTTAATAAACATTTTTTTTTATTTGAAATGAATGCTGGAAAAAAAAATTAAATTGAATTTTTTTTCAAAAAAACATTTATAAGTAAAATAGATGTAAATCTGATTATTTGATTCAGAATATTTGTTATTTTAAAAAAAACTTTTTATCAATTTGATTTCTTTTCCAGCATTCACCACATTTTTTTCTAGTTAAAAAATAATTTTATAATTACATTACTTTTATTTTAAATTATATTTTCTTTTATTTATTTATTTTTTTTCCTAAAAACAAAGTAATAACAAAATAATTTTTTATCATCTAATTTTATTGGTTTAAATAATATTTTTATAGTATTTAAGATTAATACTTCAACTATTTTTAAATAATTGCTGTAGGTCGCATTTATATCTGAAATATATAAATACCTTAAATGAAAAAAAATATAATATAAAATAATGAGTAGCTTAAATTTAAATCACGGGTTTTCAATCCAAAAATGGTGATTCTCAGGAGTAAAAATTTTTTCTTCAGATCGTGTAGAATTCCGAAAATTTCTTCATGCAAAACGATTCTTAGAAAAAAAATGGATTCAATTTACATGACCACACCATGATGCAAAACACAGTAGCTTAAAAATACAATAAAATTATAAACTTTATTGTTATTTTATTTACAAGCAATTTTATTTACAAGCAATTTTAATGTCTTTTAGTATTATTATTTTATGAATTATTATTTACAAGCAATTTTTAAATGTCTTTTAGGTAAAGCTGAAGAATTAATCATTATTTGTACTTTAAATTTTTCGAAAATATCATTTTGAAGTTGTTTAGTGTAGTACACAATTATATTAACGTATCAGTGTATACACCTAGAAAAAAAACGGAACAAAAAATTAATTAAAAAAATACCAGTAATTAAACACACGTGTCATAGCATTTTTTTACTTACGTTCACCCAATATGTTCATATACAATTCCATTTTCCACATACCATGCTTTATCTTCAATTGGGCGTTCTGGAACTTCTTCAAGAGAATCTCCAAGCGGATACGCCATTTGACTCATGTTGTCCCAGAGAAAAACACGATCATAGCAGTCTAAAAATAACATTCCGTATTCGGTCTCTCCAATGTAGATTATATGGTCAAAGCCGAAATCTGCAACATCTGCTATATAGTATTCTACTTCTTTAGGTTCAGTAACGGAGACACCCTTGATAAAGGTTGCAATTTGAAATCTAACGGATTTCTCAAATGTATCAACTACGATGAGGGAATTGTTGTTACTGGGTGAATCGTTACCAGCAGATAAGAAGCAATTCGGATTAACACAAGATTGCAGATTGCACACGGCTTCTTGACAATCAATTGTTCTTGAAGGTTTATGGACAGGGTGAGAGTGAGCGTGTACAAGTCGACATGGTCTTGATACGATTTCATCTGTCCAATAATCGCCTGCCATGGAACCGACTCTGAGCAATTGCCCAAACCGTGTCTCAACGTCTTTAAGCTTTCTTGAGTTAGGACAATTCGGTAATCTGACTCCCATTGTAATGTCTGCATTGTTTGTGCTCTCGATTCTGCTACTTTTGAGTTCATCGGTGTTATACAACGAACTGAGGAACCCATCATGAATTTTACCTTTTGGTTCGCAATATAGTACGTCAAGTTCACGGTTGCTGGTCGAATTTTGTGATGTGGTTGTATTATCATCATACTCCTTGCTAAGAGTTCCAGACTTTTCACCAAATAATTTATTTTCGCATCTAAGTTCATCTCCTCCGGAGGTTGATAAGTATAGGTCCAGAGGAGACATCAAGCGTCCCAAAAGGTATGGATTAATATTTGACCAAACTCTTCCAAGATGATTACTTTCCCTTTCTCGTCGTAAGGTGTGTATATGTTGTGCGTCCTATATAAAATACATTTTTAATTTGTTCAACCATTTTTTTTACTCCGTCTTCTTACCTGAATGGAACCACAAATTTCGAAATCAGATCTTGTTGCCATTCTTCGTTTAAATTTTCTTGCCAACTAACTGTACGGACTAGACAAATACTGAGAGATATAAATAAACTGGTGATTGATTACAATATTTTAGTCTTATATGATAAGGATTTACATATGATTTACATATGTGTGTGTCATTATTATTACGTAATCTACGGTTTACCTTTTATGGGTGTAGTCTGTTAAATTGCCCATTTTTCAAATGACTTCTCATACTTTTTCATAGTAAAATCGATGTCATTTAATATTATTTGATGTCATTTCAACGTCCATTGACAACACTGTCTAGGAATACTTCAAGAGGAAAAATTCCATTATCTTACAAATGCATCTTTTTTGTCCATCACGAACTTGTTGTTTTTTGACATCTTATGCCATCTAGTGCTATGAAACCGATGTTGATCCCCTTGCACCTCCAATGCAATTTGATATTGTTGAAAGAAAGCATCAAGCTCTAATCCAGCAGACTTCGTAATATTGATCTGATATAATAAGGACCCCCAAAGAATATATATTTTGAGATATAACTAATATTAACAATAAGAATCATGAAAAAGAGATTGTAATTAGTATAAAAAGAAAGACATTATAAAAAATGTAATCAAGTTGGTCATTATGCTTCATGATATCCAAATAATTAACTAAAAATAAATTGTGAATTTTTTCTTTATTAATAAAAATATATATCTTTTAAATATCAAATAAATAAATCTAATAATTAATTAGTATTGGCTACTTTATATATTAAAACTATTTTATTTAGAATTTAAAAATCAAATAAATATAATGCCATATAATAAGATTTTCAATTTTTTTATACAGGTAAAATCACCTGATTTTTAATAAATAGAATATGAAATATAATTTCTTAATTTATTTAATTACCAGTCCGTCACTCAACAGTATAAAATTAATTTGTAAATCCGCGTGTTCAATTATCCTGAGCTGAGCAAATATCTGGGAATTACAAATTAATAGACTGGAAGGCTCTGGACATCCTGCGAAATTCATCCTGAGTATATGAAAGATCCAAAGATTTTAGACAGCCTATGAAATTAATTCTGAGTACTTGACTTAAAAAGTTAAGGGACCGGAAGACTTTAGACTCTAAGAAATTCACCTTAAATATTATATTGGGATAAGATATCTTAATAATACCATGATCATGTTTAAACATTGGTGTGTATTAATATTCATATGGCGTATAGCCATTTTTTATACGAATTAATAGTTTTCTTTTAATATTATGAGCAGAATTTAAGAACTGATCATGATCACAGAGTGTATTAAGATGGAAATATTTTACGTACAAATAACTAAGTTTATATTCCCATAATTTACATACATCAAGGTACTTATTAAATTTGTCATTATTACGAGAATCATTATATACATATAGAAGAATATTATCACGAATGCCAGGAATCTTAATAAACTCTATTTTTCTTTTTTTCTGAATAACACATATAGATACGGCATTCTATAAACTATTTACTCTGGTGCAACTCCTATAGTGGTCTTTCCTCTAAGGAAGGTAAAGAAAATTTCAAGTAGTTCAGATATTTCTAAGGTATGGTACATATTCCTCTCAGTATTCAGAAATTAGTCTAATTATTGAGAAAAAAAAAAAATATGATAATAATGAATGGAAGCTGAAAGTAAGAAAGATACATCCAATAATTTACTTAGCGATCCAGGAGAAACAATCAAAGCATTTGAGAAAAGTTTGAAGGGACTAGAAAACATGCTAAAGTTGCTAAAATCTGATATTAATAAACTGTTACTGTTTGATGTTGCCAATTCTGTTCTACCATACAATTCGCCCAAAACTAGTCTGAGGAAGTGATCACCAGTCTGGATCAGTGATTATCAGCTCGAAAGAATTTCTGAGCCATGCACAGCGCCTTCGGCCAAATTGTGCGACAGATAAATTGATCACAATGCAGGTCTGTGCGATAGAGGAATTTCTCACATATTAAGCGAAAATAAATTATATTAACTTCCTATTCTTATTTTTTTCCCAAACAAATGTAACCGAAGAAAGAAAAAAATGTCAAAAGCAAATAGTGCCAACAAAAGCATATGTTATAAAAGCTAGTGGACCCACAAATCCAAGATCACTAGTAGTAACGAAGCCATGCGTTGCAAGTATATTTCGGCTATTCTTTACGCTTCGCTCTATATTGCCAAAAGAATAACAGATAAAAAGCTTACCTTAGCACCTCAGCTCAAAATCGTTGAAGAAAAAGGTACTGGCCAAGTTGACTACGCAATCAAAGTCCTCGAGGAACTTCTTTGCATCATGAAAGGAAAGCTACATCAAGTGGTTATAGGTTTCGCTCAGAATCTAGTCCAATGTGAAAGTGCTCTACAAGTTAATAAAAGAATAGGAAACGTAAATCAGGTGAAGCGTTTAGGGAAGACTTTGACTATATCTATGAAATCATTACAATAGCCTTAGAATAGTATTTTATTCTTTTCGCTTCAGATGGAATATCGAGTACGAGCAAGGATCCCCTCAATATTCAATTTTCAGAATCTGCTTTGAAGGAAGGATCGGAAGAAGAAAAAGATTTGCATAAAAATGTGAAGTGGGTTATAGAGGTCATTGTTAGGCTGTTGAAAGATAGTTGAAGTCAGTGGATGAAAGACCTGATAGGAAGAAGGCTAGGATAGAGGAATATTGTTCGAAAAAATAATTGTATAGACGTCATATATTACGGGCAATGTCCTGAACTTTGTAATTATTTTTGCATGTATTAATAAAAAATTTTTTTTGAGCAAAACCCGTTAACATTATTAACAAGTTAACAGAATGACATACTTATTTTACCAATTTTGAACAATTACAATCTATCTAGAGAAAAATAAGATAGATATTACTGAACTCGATTCCGAGAATGCCAATAGAATAGATAATTTTTATAACAACAATTTAATTCCCTGCCTTCGAGTGTAAGTGAGAAGTCATTGGAGGGTAAAGTGTTATAAGAAAAGCGATTCTGATGAAATAAGGCGATGTTTCGAATATACTGATGACTGGATTGAGTTCACAATTATTTTCGACCAAAGGAAAGCGTTCCCTAACTCAGATGCTAGGAGATCGGTTTTAGTTCTAGCATGTTGGCTAATATCGAAAAAACCTTTAAAAACTAACCACCTCAATAGTTTTACGAATGATAGCAGTGGTTAAGTAGTAATAATTAGATAGGCAAGCCCACAGAAAAGGGACTGTCATTTAACAAGTTCGCTTTATAACTATTTCGCTTATACAAGGTTACAACATTATTCACATTTATTTCAATGATATTATTGTTACATCGGATTATAATATTTTACATAATAGTATAAAAAAATTGCAATTAATCGCAGAATTTTATATCCTTTTTATATTATACTTCTGAAAGAAAGACAGCTCAATTAATGCACCTAGGGTGAGTTCTCCTTGAAAGCGATTCCCTCAATAATTGCACGTCTGTTTTATTGAGCCGTTGATTGATTCTTCCTTCCATCTTATTATTGATCTGTTTCTCCAGTCTTTCCTCCATTTTACCAACTGAACTTTCCACCGCTTTCCAGACTCCAATGACAGAGCCACTTCCAACACCCAAAACTGTAGCGTAAGTGTGTACATTTTTGGGGTTCACTAATTTTTAATAGTAAAAATTAATATTATATTTACATCTTCAATAAATTTTATTACAACACTATACATACTCTTAAACAATGCTTCCGCTTTGGTAGATGAACTAGAAGAAAAATTCCTAATAATATGTTGATACATAACATGATGGAAAAAATGAAAATTTTTAGAGAATGAAAGTTGAGATAGTAGAGTGTATATATACTAGATGGCTAAAAAAATTCCAATACTGCAAAACTTCTCTGACTGTTGTAAGAAAAGAATATAACCGATTCCTCCTCCAGAATCGATAGATCTTATAACAGGTGTAAATCAAAGAGCACTTGTAAAATTGTTTTTTGATCAATTTTATACATATCGGCTAATCAACCAACCTAAGGTAGCGGGTACGACGTATATTTAGCCAATGATCTACATATAGATTTATACCTAAAAAGGAAAGGCCTATGGGCAAATAAGATGTGTCAGGTGCGTTGATTGATTAGCATTCCAAAAATTGGCCGATTAATTAATATGCGGTTTTTTCAGATCGTTAAATCACTCACGATCTACCGCAGTATGAAGGAGGTTAGCAAACGAAGACTTTATTAGCACCATGGAAGGAAACTTTCACTGGAGCTTCACCATTTTATGGAATGTATGCTAGATAATGAAAAGAAACCACTTTTCAAGCTGTCGAAGCTCTTATTTGTTGTATATAAAATGAGAATATGAAAGACAAGCAAATAAAAGTCCTTGGTCATATTTTATGGTTATTGAAAGAGGCATAGAAGTCAGTAGAAGCTTCTCAAACTGAAGTAAGAAGGGTAAGATTAATGGGCAATCTTGCAGGAAAATTGAATTAGAATCCTGACTTCCTGTTTTTCTAGGTGAAAAAAATATATATTTTTATTTGCCATAAAACATTATGTATCATGGGCTAGTTCCAAACTTTGTATTTATTTTTTATCTTGTATTAATAAAGCTTGTCTTTACATTTGCAACATAACATTGAATATTTCCTATTGTATAAAAATATTAATAACCATGTAATCCAAGCTTAAAGTATTGAAACAGTGCATCACTGAGCTTGAGGCTGAGAATGTGAAATTGAGACAAATTATTGAGGAAAATGCCAGGTATGATGCTGAGAATTCTGAATAAAGAGCCAGAATAGAAGAGTTAGAGAAGAATAGTGCAAATATTTTGGCAGAGAATACTGAGCTTAAGGCTAGGGTTGCGAAATTAGAATAAGATTCTAAACAGCTACAGAATGATTCACATTTTGAAGAAGCAGTCACCATACCAGAGTCTGTAGCAGTCAAGCTCAGTGGAAAAAATTGTGTAGTACCAGAGGTAGTAACGGTACCTGCCAGCTCTAAATCATCGCAGAAGAAAGAGATGAATAATTTCTTGAATGAGGCACATAAGAAAAGCGTTAGTGATGGAATAAGGCGATGCAATAAAGAGAAAAAACTTAAAAAAAGTAGAGCAGAATCTCTTAAACAAAGGTACCAGAATTCTTTAGAACAATACTAACATGTACGGTCAGTTAGTTTTTTTTAGTATATCAGACTCCGATTGGATGCAATTAACTTCTGACTTAAATATCTCTCTCTGGAACTTATAAATCGAAAGAGGTACAGTAATTACTTTACCTTTATACAATAAATTAAACTCCCACTTAGCAATAGGCTCCCATCCAGTACGATCAAGCTAAGGTATCCCTAACAATATTCAGGGTTTACCATTACTGGGAAATCTTCAGAAATTGTACAACTATTATCATCCTGACCAACTATAACCAAAATATTATAAGACAAATCAATAGAATCTAGAGAATTATTTCACCACTTAACAGGAGGCTTTTTATTTTTATTGATTTCTGCACCCAGTAACTTTATAAGACCTTTTGAGAGGACTGAGCAATTGGCGTCACTATCAATCAATGCGGAAGGCACTTGTACAATTTTTCTTAATGGTGAACTGATTTTGCAATGAATGATAGCTACATTATTAGGTATAATTTTTCAGATGAAATTAATTTCCATAGGATTTGGCCATGAAATAGCTGGTCCTATTAACTGGTTCATTTGTATAGATTATGGTTGCTAGGCATTTTGTGGCAAACTTGTTTGCTGAGGAACAATTCAAACTAGATTTGTAATTGGTTGTAAAATTTGAGTAAATACTATAGTAATCCCATTCCAGAACTTTTCACATTCCTTTTCTGAGAAATTTGAAACATAATAGCTTAAGATAAGATCTTTTAAGTCTATAAATTCCGCATTGATCATATTCCAAGTATTAATTGAAACTTTTTTAAGCTGAGCACAGACAAAAGAATCAACCATTAACTATAAAATAGCAAAAAATGCATTTAGGATAATATTATCCATAGGAATCTTAAGTGACTTAGTATTTTTACTGCTTTTTTAGTGAAGTGTAAGCTCAAAGGAGAGATTTTACTAGTTTTTTTACTAGAAGTCTTCTTGTGCTTTTTTGAGCCTTTGGTATTAAAAGAAGTTACTTTTTTTTTGTGGTATTGACTTTACATTCTTCTTCACTTTCAGAATTACTAGAGCTACTTGACTCACTTTTAGATGATTTGAAAGCTATTTCTTCACCATGGACTAGAGCATTGGTCTCAAGTTTATCTTTACTAGATGTTGCATCATCATCATTACTGCTAGACTCTGAAAAGGATTCATCAGAAATTGTATAGGAGTTAATTCGCTTAGAGCTATATGATTTTTTCTTCTTTTTCTTAGATTTAGTTTTAGATGCAAACTTAGATTTTCCTCCAGTCATTTTCTTACAAGTAGTACTAGCAATCTTTTTTACATCTTTAGCCATCTTTATTTGATTGATACAAAGGTCTTCTAATTACCTACGGCTTACACATCTTTTCAACAGGATCATCATTTTCATTAGGATTGTCATCCATATTTTTTATAACTTCTTCAAAAAAGCAATCTGAATGAATCTGATCAGCTTTTTTCTTACCAAGATCAGACTTTTTAGTTAAAGTCTTTTTAGCCTGCTTCATAGCAACTAATAATTATCTAACTGCTTCAATATTAAAATTGAACTGTATATTTGTGATTATTTTGGCCTGGGATTGTTTTTCTCTAGAAATCATTCACTCTTCTACAAGCTTTTTAATATCTGTATCTGTATAATGTCCAGGTTGTATAATAGATGGTTGAGCAATTGAAAAAGATGATAGTGTATCTGCTTGCTTCTGAATTAATATAAATTTTTCTGTTTCTACTAGAGTTTTTGTAATATTTTCTAAAGTATTATGAAATTTAGCCATCATACGAATATTATATTGATTTGTAGGATTTAAGCCATAAATAACTTACTTTTGTATATGTTCAGAAGTCATCTTTGCAATTCTACCAATCCTTTTAATATGATTAACAAACTGCTCTATTAGCATAGATCCTTGTGCAAGTTGGCCAAATACTGCCATTTGTTTTTAGTCATTCAGTTAATTGTTGTATAGTTAGTTGCAAATCACTAAAGCTTTTGGCCTATCTTAATACCAGGCGCAATTGTAACTGTGAGAAGTTCTTCTCCTGCATTTAAAGCTACTGAAACATTCACTGTAAGTTTTTTACCTGCAATAGACCAATCTTCATTAAATGTACTGGTGGAAATTAAATTAACTCCAGTTGCAATTTCTACACCAACTTTACCAATTTCTGTGATTGCCTTATTTTAGAATTCACCAGCAGTATTTAAACCACCAATTTAATTTCCAGCATTACCAACACCTAATGTTCAAATAGCATTTAAATTAGCTACTTCTAAATTGTCTGAAAGATTAATACACTTCCAGTTTTTATTTTTAAGATTGGTTTTATATTATGTTAATACTAGCTCTTCTAGATATAGCTCAAATAAAAGATCTATTTTCGCTCTGCCAGCTATTTCATCTGCATCAGGTGCAAAATTTATTTGATTTGCTATTACATTTTTCTGAAAATCTCTAAGCCATTCTTCTGAATTCTTTCCTAAAAGATCCTTAAAAAGTTTAACCCCATATCCTATTATTCTTACTTATTGGTTATTATTAGGCAAATTATTTTGAAGTACTAAAATTTGTTACTGTAAGTTAAAAATATTTTGCCAGGAATTTCTATATTGACTCTTTTAATTTTAAGCCTGCTGAATAGTATATGTATAACATCTTTTCTAGTGTTCTGTATCAGTATTATAATGTACAATTATTTTATAAGCATTTTTTCTACTATGCTTATCCCATTATCTTTGAATATTATTTAGTATTTCAGCTAGTCTATTCTAAGTTAAATCCCAATTCTATATAATTTTACTCTAGTTATTTGAAGTTTTGCTAAATATTAAATATGATTTTACTCTAAATAAAGTGAATGATTAATTCAAAAAACAGGCTATATGCCAGATATATAAATCTTGTTCTACTAAATATATTTCCTAAGCAAGTTTTACTTCTATTACTACTTCTAATAAAGTCCACTAGGCAGATGTTCTCTATATGCCTTATGATTATGCCTTATGATAAGATAGATCAGATTACATATCTTTTTTATTTTAATATTGTAGATGTGACTTTAAGATATAAAGCATCTATTTCTATTGGTACATATAGTGTCAAGAATAGGTAGGAAACTTAACTTTAAAGATTATTGTTAAGGTTATTGAGAAGATTTATAATAATTCTGAGTGTCCTTTTGTCTAGCTGAAAGTTTTTTTTAACAGATAAGGGTCCAGAATTTAAGAGTGATTGTGAAAAATTATTGAGAAAGCATGGTGTAAAAATTCAGAAAGCCAAGTCTAAACCCACTATAGGTATTGTTAAAAGGTATAACTGCACCTTAGTTGAAAAACTATTTTCTTCTTAAAATGGTTCTAATCTTTCGACTTTACATTTAAATAAACGATTCAGAGTTTGGATGAAAAATTTGCTTATTGTTATTGAATATATTAATAATTCTATCATATGCCAGTTTGATATTTCTTCAGCTATGGCAATAGAAAAAGAAAAGGCCTTTATTAAGTCTTCTTCTCCTTATAATGGACCTATAGGATTTAATAAAGAAAAGCTTTCTAGTGATATATATTCTTGTAAGATATTTAATAGATACTTGTGAGTTAAAGGGTAATATCATGCTGGAGATTTGAATTGATCCTCACATATTTATTATATCTGTCAATTTATGGTGCAAAAAAAATCAGCCAGTCTTATACTGACTAGAAGAATTCTCCTTTGAGCTAGTTGATAATAATGATTATATGATCAAACATCCTGAAAGATCCTTTATAAGAGAAGAATTAATGCCTATTTTGTTAGACACTGAGTTACCATCCAGTAAGCTTTTACAAATTGAAAAAGTCTTCTTCTTTTTCATCAATTTGTACTTCTATAATGAAATAATTTTTGGCTAATTTATAATATAGTTTATTGAGATCCATAATAGCATTAAAAATTTTTAGATCTTGTCTATAGTATTCTTTGTAATCATCTTTGATTTTATAATATTTATTCTTATTGGAAAATCTTACTTTATCTTGTTCAAAAGTATACAAATTAATTTTTTTATCCATTTTTGTCCAAATAAAAAAAAGTGCTGTTAAAATTAAACTTTCATCATCATCAAATAAATAAACTTTTTTTTCATGAATTTAAATTGAGAACTGAATAGGATGATAAACATATTCTTATAACTATAAGCAATATTGATATAATATATTATATTAATAGTAGTAGTAAATATATAATTATGTTTAAAAGTACAATATTATTACAACTAAAATATAATTACTTTCTAAATATAGATAAAAGCTTTTAAAATATATGATAATTTATATTATTTTATTATTTTTTTTTAAATTGATAAAAAAATTGATTAACAAATTCTATTTTGTAAAAATTTTCCTTTTTTAATTCTATCCTTTTAAAAGAATTAATTATATGAATATACAACTTAGAATAATAATAATTTATATCATTTTTTTGCATTATTATGTATTTATAAAATTTGATTATTATTATTTTTTAAAAAATTATAAATAATAAATAGATGAATAAATTAATAGGTAAGTAAATTAATAGGTAATAAGGTGAATAAATTAATAGGTAAGTAAATTAATAGGTAAGGTTAAGAGATAAATAAATTAAGAGATAAATAAATTAAGAGATAAATAAATTAAGAGATAAATAAATTTTAAAGAGATAAATAAATTAAGAGATAAATAAATTAAGAGATAAATAAATCAAGAGACAAATAAATCAAGAGACAAATAAATTAAAAGATAAATAAATTAAAAGATAAATAAATTAAAAGATAAATAAATTAAGAGATAAAGAAATCAAGAGACAAATAAATTAAGAGATAAAGAAATCAAAAGACAAATAAATTAAGAGACAAATAAATTAAGAGATAAATAAATCAAGAGACAAATAAATTAAAAGATGAATAAATCAAGAGATAAATAAGTCAATAGATAAATAAATTAATAGATAAAGAAATCAATAGATAAAGAAATCAATAGATAAAGAAATTAATAGATAAAGAAATCAATAGATAAAGAAATTAATAGATAAAGAAATTAATATCAATAGATAAAGAAATTCAATTAATAGATAAAGAAATTAATAGATGAATAAATTGGATAAATAATTTTTATATATAATAAATAAATGTATTCGGATTGTAAATTGTAATAAATGTATATTGGATTATACTTAATACTTGGATAATCTTTTAAACATGATTTTTTTTTTGGCCGGTAAATTAAATAAAAATAACGGGTATATATTTTTTTTTTTTTTGGTAAATTAAATAAATTACGATATTTTACATTATTTTTTAATTTGTACCTATCAGGTTTAACCTAAGGGACAAAAATCTACATTTTTAGAAACATATACCATACTTTATATATACATTATAATTGTCACGTATTGTGTATATATATATATATATATATGTAATATAACATATGATACATAATTTTTTAATATTTTTAATTATACTTGCCTTAAAAAATTTATTAATAATGAATAAAAATGATTTTCTTATTTTTTTTTAACAGATAACCCGATAAAGATCTGATAATGAAATCGGTTGTTTCCTGTTCTTGGCAACCATGTAACGAATGTACAAAGTAAATCCAAAAATCCTTATTGGATCGATCCTGAATTAAAAATTTTTTTTTTAAAATCGTATTAGTATTTACATTGAAAAACATTATTTACGTTACATATTTATTATTTGTTAATTGATACACGATACAGATATATTAAAATAAAATATATAAAAAAAAAAATCTAGCTACATTAACTATATAATTTTTTTTTACCGAAATTTCCCTCATAATTACAATCATATTTTTAACTGTTGGGAAAGACCTTTCCTAAAATATATATATATATTATATATATATAAAAGAAAGAGTTACTTATGACTTAAAATATGCATTATTATTTATATTATATTTTTTTTATATGTATTATATGTATTATACACGATTAAAGATTGTTTCGCGTTTTAAACAGATGATTTTTTTTAAAATGAAAATAATAACTTTTTTATTTGTAAGAAAAGCCTTCATATGTAAGAAAACCCTTCATTTGTAAGGCGTGCATTATTATTGATTATTATTGAATTATTATTGAATTATTATTATTATTGAGAAGACAATACTTATATTGTAACTCAATAAAAATATTATTTTTATCAATTATTTTACTAATAAAACTAATAAAAAAAAAAAAAAAACTAATAAAAAGGCTTTAATAAAATCATCAATAAGGGACCAATAAAATCCAAAATTAAAGATGTAAATAAAAGAATGATCCGAAAAACACTCAACATTTCAGTTACTCGAAACCAATTTTCACAATTTTCATTTTTTAAACAAATTGATTTATTTTAAACAAATTGATTTATTTTGATTTTCATTTTTTTTTAAAAATAAAAAAAATTTGACAAACATTTGAAATACCATTTAAAAAAATTTAAAAAATTTGACAAACATTTGAAATACCATTTAAAAAAAAGTTCAAACATTTAAAAAAAACACCATTTAAAAAAAATGACACATTTAAAAAAATGACAAACATTTAAAAATACCATTTAAAATAACCATTTAAAAATTAAAAAAATTTTTTTTTGACAAACATTTAAAAATACCATTTAAAACTCATTTAAAAAATTTCTTTTATATTAAAGGATGTAAGGTTATATAAATTTTTTATATGAAAAGGATGTAATAATAATAAAAATGCAAAAAATAAAAAAAAAATTTATCATTAGTTTCATTAGTTTCATTAGTTTTATTAATTTTAATTTTGAAATCTAGACTGTGAATCCATGATTTATTAATTAATTTAACAATTTACAATCCAAAATTTTAGTTCAATTGTTGTTAATAATTAATAATTTATTGGTTCTTCCTATTATTCTTCATCAAACAAAAAGTACGTAAATTACATTTGAAAAAAAAAAAATGTTTATTTGTCGTACAACTTTTTTTTCTTGTATTTATTTATTTATTTATCGTTGAAAGATTCACGACATGTATCGAAATAATCAAATATATCGAATAAATAAAAGTTTTATTAAAATAAAAACACTGCGGACAATCGGGTACCGGAAGAGTCTAATTATACTAATTTGAAATTTGATTATACATTACGTAAAGATAAATAAATATATGCAAAAAAAAATTCTATTTTTAGGAAAAAAAAAAAAAAAGTCTAAGTAGAAAATAAAAAAAATCGTAAAAAATTTTTTTTTCTATGAAAATATGAGAAAGAGGAATGGGAATGAGGGAGGAAGTGTTTTTTAGCTTAATTTATTTTTAAAGGCTTATTTATATATAATTTAAAGAAAGTCTAAAGTAAAAAAAATGTCTAAAAAGAATGAAATCTTAGAATGATGATGTGTTGTAAATAAAATCTAACGAAATTTTTTTTGTTTTTTTTTTTGTTTGTATTTTGTAAAAATTTGTTTTTTTTGTGGGGGGTTTTTTTTTCTATCTCCTCATTTCTCATTAACTTATAATCTTATCAAAAGATTTTTTTTTTACTTATGTATGTTCGAGGATTGTAAATAATCTATGGTGGCGAAATCTATAAAAATTTTGAAATGTACATTTATTTTTTTGTTTGTGTTTGTGTTTGTTAATCTATTATTACGAATAAAATGAAGTAAAATGAAAATGATAAAATTTTTTGAATGATAATAAAATGAAATTGTGATGATAAATTCGAGAAAATGCGTATTATTTTTTTTTTTTCTAAATAATTTTCGTATAAATTGAAAAAGTTTAAGTCGTTGAATGTGTTTGTAATTATGAATTATATACATAAAAAAATATTAAATCGGGAAAATTTTAATAATATTGAATATGATTATCATTGATTGGAGTGATTGGAGTGATTGGAGTGATTGGAGTGATTGGTGTCGAAAGGTAAATTACGGAATTTGCAGTTTGTGTTTGTGTTTGTTGTAATTGCAATTGCAATGCAGCTGTTTGTGAGTAACTTTCATACATATTGGTTGTCGTATAATCAAAAACGTTTCCAGATGTTATCATATTTGGAAAATTCTCATTTTTACATAATTCTGTTGTAGAATTCCATGTTTCATTATTTTCAATTATATGATATCCTTCTGGTGTCATGGTAGAAAAATTCTCATTGGAATTTATGTAAGTATATGGAATATTGAAAAAGTTTGTTGAAGAAACTGGTGTAGTTGGTGAAACGCAAGATGAAGAATTGGAATTAAGGCTTTGTCTTCTATCCATTTCTGCAACTCCAGCCGCCGCTACGGCCGCTGTTTCGGTTGCACTTAAAAACCTCCCCCCAGGTCCTCTTAATCTTCTTACTGCATGATTATGACGGGATTGATGAATATAGGGCTAAAAAAGTGGGTAAATTTCGTGTTAAAAAAAATTATTTCTTTTTTTTTTTAAAGAAAAAAAAATAAAAAAATTATTTTTATTAATTTAAACATACCTTTCTTTCTTTAGAAATATTATATTTCTTTTGAAATCTTTCACGAGCAAGTCTTCTTTTGAGAATTCTTTCATATTGTTTTGGATTAACATAAGTTGGTAATTCATTTTGATCCTTTTCAGCATCTTCATTTTCTTGTTTAACAATTTTGACATCATCATCCTCTTCAACATTTATGGTTGTAATCTTTTTAGGTTTATCATTTGAAGTACTAGACGCGTGAGGAGTTGGAGGAGAAGTTGGAGGCGATGGTGGAAATGATTGTTGAGATTTAATAATAAAAGGTTTAACATCTTCACCATTATTATGATTATTATTAGGAATCATAATTTTGAGGTCAGGTCGTTCGATTTCTTGGTGTTCAATATATAAATGATCTCCCAACTTTATTTATTAAAAAATGGCGGGAAAAAAAAAAAAATTAGATTTGCAATGCGTGGGAAAAAGTAATTTGATTAGTTATAGTTGTACATAAATAATTACCTCTGAAGAAGGAGGATGAGGATGCACAGTAATAATTTGAGGATGTTCAAATTCAGGTGAGATATTAATAGGTTTCATATCGTAAGTTTCAAGATCAATAAATGTTTGATGTTCCATAGGAGGAGTTAGCTAAAAAAAATTATAATTATAATTAGTAAATTAGTAAAAAAAAAAATAAAGAAACCAATAAACGATGATTTTTATTGATATAATTACCATAGGATATTGAAGAACAACTTGCTGATCATCAAATTGTTGTTGATAGTATGATTCATCCTAAAAAAAAAAAAATGGAAAATCCATAAATCCATAAATCCATAAAAAACATTTTTTTTTTTTAAAAAAAAAAAAATAAAAGAAGAAGAAAAAAAAATTTCTTTCTTACCGTGATACCGTAAAAAGGTTCATCGATTATTTGATTTCCTGTAGGAACATCACTGTAAATGGTATTGACATGAGGCGCAACTACTTGTGGCGCCGAGATGTATTGTTGTGGCAAATAGATAGTTTCCATTTTCGAAAAGAGATCGAATAGAAAAAAAAAAAAAGTGTGTTTTTTTTTACGAAAAGAGTAAGAAAAAAAAAGAAAAGGGCGAAAAATAAAATAAAATAAAATGCAAAGAAGAAAAAAAAAGAGAAAAAAAAATTCGAACGAAAATTTTTTTTTCAAAGAGAAAAGAAACTAAATATTGAAAAAAGAGTAGATTGTCAGGGTTTTAGCTTTTATTAGTCTCCGGGGATCAGAAAAAAAAAAATTGTCTTGACACCTTTATATAAAAAAAGATATTTGATTCTGATCATGTGAGGTTGCCATCTGTCGATTTTGTGATTTTGTGACACAAAATAAAAAAAAAGTCGCTAAGTACTAGTACTAGTGTACATTATAAATAAATTTGAGGCTGTGAAGGACACGACACATCACATATATATATTACATTATATTACATTAAATTATTTACCAAATTAAAAATATATATTATATTTTGTCGTCATTATAAAGCGGATAATGCGGGTAATACCGAAAATAATTACACGTACTTCAAATTTTTAGTTTAAAACGTTTTAGATAAATAATTTGTATGCCCATTCTAGAAAATAATTTATTTTATTAGTTGATTGGTGATAATTATGCAAATCTGTTGTGACACAGTATTGAAAACGTGCGTTTAATAAAGGCAAAATTAAAAAATTGAGAAAAAATCATTTTAAAACTTTATTTTTAATTTCTTTAACAAATGAAGAATTGAATGACAAGCCACACACACAAAAATAAATTATAATATATATATATAATAATATTTTTTCAATGAAATTAAAACTAGCCAAGAAAATAATATTAAAAATAAACAGGATTTTTTTAAAAAAAAAAAAATATGCAAAAAGATATCGAAGATCTGATTATGAAACTATAAAATGTAACAAAAAAAAAAAAAAAAATTATTCGGTAAATTCGGGATAATAATGATTCGCACATTTAGAATTTTATAAACCTATTGTTTTAGTTTCAAAAAAATTTTGAATGATTTGATTTAATTAGAATTTATAATATTATAAATAAATGTAAATATATTGGTTTAAAAAAATTATATTGATGTACAGTATGTCATGAACGATTTTGTAAATTTTGTAAGCAAAGGTCAATCGTTTGTTTTTTGTTGGTGTTTTTGTTATGCAAGGTTTATTTTTCCATTATAGTGGAACTAAAAATATAAATTATTATTACATATATGTAATATATATATATACTGTATATATATATATATATATATATTAAAAAAAAATATGGGTTTCGATATTTTCCGTTAAACTAACTTGATTTGTAATTAGAATAAAAAATGTAAATGTTTATTTTTTGTTTCCCTTAAAGAAAATCTTGGCTAATTTATGTAATAACGTGACATAATATTTTTAACCCGTTAGAAGATCAAAAATGATTTGTTCATTTGTTACATTACTGCTAATATTTTCTTTATTAAGATCACGTTACTATGAAACAATTGGATTTTTTTTTTACGTCATTTAAAGAGTTGATCCTTTTATAATAAATTATTGATAGGTGTACAAAGTTTCATGGTTTTCATTTCATGAGTTTGGATTACTTTTTTCATAATATCATATGTCAAATTTTAATTATTGCATTAGGCATAAAATCAAACCATTAAAAAGGGTATTTAATCATAGGTCACTTTGTTTATGCGAGAAATCATTTCTTATAATAAATTATGACTCATTTGATCGTCTCATGACTTTTACCTATATTGAATTTTTAATATTTTGAATATTTTGATATCCAATTATGGTAACTCTATGGAAAAATTTAAAACTCTTTTTTTTTCTTTATCTTTTTTTTTTTTCTTTATGAATTTAATGGAATTTTCTTCCCCACTTCGCCCGAGTCGGGTTAATGCAATGTATCACATGTTTTATAAATAATAAGAATTTTTTTATTAAATAAGCACTTTTCTTTAAAACAAATCGTTCTTTAAGGTAAAGGTAAAGCCGAATTCATTCTACCTTAAAAAGGATTGTGGGAAAAATCATTTGAAATAAATTGAATAATCCTTTTTTGATCTTTATTTAATTTTAATAAATAAAAAAAAGGGATTAAAAAAAAAAAGTCTGAGACCCAGAGTAACCCACATCAAAAACCACTTAAAAATAAGAAAAAATGTTTTTCCGTAAAAGGATATTTATAATATTACCACTTTGTTTTTATTTTTTTGTTTCAATTTTCAAAAAAAATATTTACACATTGTTATATTAAGTTTTATTAAATGACAGTGATTTCTTTGCATTTTTTTATGCATTACTATGCATTTTCTTTATTTACATTCCTTTTCTCCTCTGTACAACTTTTTTTTTTTTTACTTTTTTAAAAAAAAAAGAATGAAAAATAATTTTTTTTGGCGGGAATTCCCGTAACCGAGTGACAGGGTTGATCGGTTACACTAAACTCAGCCAGATTTATATTATATGAGTTAATATGATAACATTAAGCATACATTTTTGTGATTTAATTATTTTAATTATCAATAACAATATTAAAATTCACCAATCAAAGGAAAGTAAATTATTATTTTTAAAATATAATTATTATATTTATAAAATAATCATTTTTTTTTTTTTAAAAAAATGATTTTGATTATCAAATATTTTAATATTGTTTTTCGATTTTTTTTTTTTAATATTATTCTCTTATTATTCCCCCCCTTATTAACGTCATGAAAGATAATATAAAAAAAAAATAAAGTAAAAATAAAATAATATAAAAATAAAATAAAATAAAATAAAATAAAAAGGATAAATTAAATTAAATGAAATAAATTTGTTTTTATCATTTATCATTTTTTTTTTTTATTTTTACCCTTGATTTCAATTTTTTTGAGATTTTTGTTTAAAAAAAGAAATTAATTGGTGCGTATCATTAATATATTCAAAATGTATGTTTATCAATCCCATGAAAAAAAATAAATTCAATAAAAACCAATTAAATTTCAAATTACACGTGAACGTATATCATTTAAAACTTATAATTTTCCTTGAAAAACATAGTCCCGATCCCGAATATTTTTTTTCTTAAATAATCATGTAAAAGTATGTATGTAAGGTATATTATTTTTTTTAATCACATCAATCAGATAGATGATATACGGAATATATCTAACATTAAATTAAAATACAGAAATACAGGAACACGAATTCTGCATTTAAAAATTTGTTTATTTGAAAATTATTTATCCCCCGCTTATGTTTCGATTAACAACAATATAAGATAGTCTTTAGATTCAATAAAATTTATTATGAACCAATCAATTCAATGAAGAATTAAAAATATGCTTACAAGTCTTACAAGATTATGTTCTAAAAAAGGAAAATTACATAAAAAATTGATTGGAAAAAAAATTTTATTACAAAGAAAAATATTATTTTTAAAAATAAATAAAATAATCCAGACCTTATAATAAATAATTTTTGCATGATAATAATTTAATGTTTTTTAAAGTAGTAATAACAACAAACAAATTATCATTTATGGTAAATTTTAATGTTATATGAATATCATTATTTTTCATATTACCGTGTATATTTATTATAATTTTCAAAATAGTAACAAAAATATAAATTATAAAAAATATTTTGGTTTGATGTTTAAAATTGATTACGAAATTATGAGATTTTTTATTAGTTATGATTTATAATACATAAAAAATTTGAACTCAGAGTACTCAGAGTACTCAGAGTGATAAAAAGTGATAAACGATGATTTCAAGTACATTGTTCCCAATTTAGTTTGGGTTCGAAAAATATAAAAATGGTTGATTCGTTAATTAAAAATAATTTTTTTTTTTTTTTAAAAAAAAAATAAAAAAAAATAAATTAATTAAAAAAAGGGTAAATTCCTTTTAGGGGATATTGCGGTAAAATAATTTGTTTTGTTTGTAATTTTATTACTTTAAAACTTACTTTAAAACTAGGATTACATATCACATTTGTATATCATATTTAGAAAGGCGTATAATTTGTATTTTTTGTATTTCATTTTATAATATCCCATGATATAAATAATGAGCCATAACCATTTTGTTATTTTATACAAATTAGGAATAAACCATATTCAAAATAATTGTGGCAAAGTACTTTTTCGTAGTAATTTACCAAGTAATTCACATAAGTAATTGTTTATTCTAATAATGCAAGTGAGTAAGGTAGAATCTTACAAATAAATCACCAATTATAGATGATTGTGTAATTTTTTACCAAAATAATTATGTAAAACTCACACCGAAAGTTATGTAAACTTTACTTTTGCCAATTCATAATCCATCATACGATTGATGCGAATTCTTTTTAGGGTATAAAATATAAACAGCGGTATAAAATAATTTATATTTAGGATTAGTATTTTTTTTTTTATTTATTTTTATTTATTTTTTTTTTTTTTTCCGATTATTTACGATGTCGTTATACCCGATTATATTATTATTTTATAATTAAATGTGACAAACATAGAAATCNATAATTTTTTTTTTTTTTTAAAAAAAAAATAAAAAAAAATAAATTAATTAAAAAAAGGGTAAATTCCTTTTAGGGGATATTGCGGTAAAATAATTTTTTTTCCGATTATTTACGATGTCGTTATACCCGATTATATTATTATTTTATAATTAAATGTGACAAACATAGAAATCTTATATGCATGTTTTTTTTAGACTAACTATATCTTCGACCTTATTTTTTAATCGATTGATCAAGGTTTTTTCTTTTTATTATCCTAAATTATACTTATATTCGAATAATTTTCCAAATTTGGAAGGGCTGAGAATCATTTCAATCATTTTTAGCGGTTTTTTTTTTCTGCCCCGGGTTGAATGACCCGAAGGTTTCAAAAACAAGGTTTTATCTGAAAAATTTAATCAAGATAAAAACGGTTTTCTAAACCTTTTTGTTCTATTCTTTTTTTCTTTTTTTCTTTTTTTTCTTTTTTTAATTTTTAATCTTTCTTCTTATGATACATTTCAAGATCAATTCAAACTTTGTTCAATGTTGTTATGTTGTTTAATGTTGGTCACACTTATCACACTTATTTTACTTGTTTTAATAATTCTGGCCGATCTATTCACGTGAGGATTTGGTAAACATATTAAAACATATTTTTGTAACGTTTCGTATTATATTACGTAACATGATTAAGAATATTATATATATATATCCGATATATGTGTTACAACACATTCATTATCATAAATACATATATATGTATATATATTTATGTATTTATAAATATTTTATATATATATTTAATATATAAATTATATATATTATATTTACATATATATTTAATATGCATGAAATTATAAATTCCCGAGTTTTAACCTCTTTTAAACAATTTTGTAAAATTTTTAATTTAACATTAACGGTTATAACAAAAAAGTAATATCAATAAATAAATCAATTAATTAAATTTTATTTTTATTTTTATTTTTTTTTTTTGGGTAAAATGGCTTTTTTGTAATCGCCATTCTGATGTCAATTGTGAAAATTTTACTGGTTCGATTTTCAGGATTTTTTTTTTCCCACAAATAAATTTTTTTTTTTATATAAATTTTTACCGATATCAGGAAAATTTATTCCTTTTTTAAAATTCCCTATTTTATAAAAAATCGNAAAAAAAAAAAAAAAAAAAAAAAAAAAAAAAGTATAACCAAAATTAACCAAAATATATATAAAATTATTCAAAAAAGTATAAGCCTTAAAAAATCTAAATCTAAAAAAAATTTTTTTTAAAAGAAATCAATGAAATCAAATGGTAAAAATAATTTTTTCTTTTTAAAAATAAATTTTTTATATTAAAAAAAAAAAAAGGAAAAAAAATAAAAAAAAAAGGGCGAAACTTTATTTTTAATTTTTAATTTTTTTACTAAAAAATTAAAAAAATTACGTGATACTTATAAATTACGTGATACTCGTTTTTTTCGAGGTTTCTTTTTTGAACGGTGAAATCCGAAAAAAAAAAACATAATCCATAAAATTTCATAATTCCCCCCTTCTCCCCCTCGAACACGTTTTAACCACGTTTTAAAATATGCAACACGAGATATTGTTTTTTGTTTCAAAAATTTCCTTTACATGTTCACAAAAAGTTACCGGATCTTTTTTTTGTTGATAGACATTTTCGGATTATACCGGACCATTATAATTTAACTTTATAAGAATAAAAGGATAATATTTATAATATTATAATATTGTATTTGTATCAGTAATTCAGTACCCATTATAAATCAAATGTGTTTAACCAATTAAAGAAATTTTTTATGATTTAATTCAAAATTCTTTTTAATCTATTTAAAAAATAAATAAAAAAATAATTAAAATAATAATTAAAAATATTAAAATTAACCTATCTGGGTTTAAAATTTTATTAAAAAATAAACAAAAAGTGTTAATTTGATTCCCGATATGTTTAGAAGAGGAGAATAATGCATAACCTTTTTTTTTTTTATACATACATATTAATTAATTAGATTATCATATTAAAAACATTTTCAAAAGATTTTAAATTACGTAATCCTTAATGATATAAGAAACTAAAACATTCTCGAAAAAAAATTGGTCACAAGTCATTGAACTGATATTAATTATCACGATACACAATTTTTTTTTATACAAAAATTTTCCTCTTGTTTACCTTATCTGCATCTTAAATTCTTGGCTTTTTTCTTTTTTTGATAAACTTTTTTTTTTTTTATTTGTTTATTTTTTTTTTTTTTTTTTTTTTTTAAAAAAAAAAATATATATTCGAAACTCGCTTATCAAATTCATTAACAGTTAAATAATTCAATCATCGTACATAAAAAACCACATCTTTCAATAAATTAACTAAATGATATTATAATAAAGAAAACGTAAGTAAATTATTAAGTAATCAAACTTTATGGTTTATCGAAAATAATTATAAATGATTTATAAATAAATCGTTACGATTATTAATTTAAATTATTATCATAAACTAACTATTAAAAATTAAAAAATTGCCAAATGTTTTGATCATGATGCATTTTGATTGGTCAATTAATCCCTATGTGGTTAATCTCAAATGCATGCACACGTCAAAGTTAAGGAGATAATTGTTTTGACGTTGATGCGGCAAATGGATGAGTTAAAAGAACTTTAGCCGTTGGTCTTTCATCATGGTTTCTATAATAAAAAAGGAAATTAATTATTAAATTTTTTTTTTTTTTATCACTTTTTAATGATTTTTCGTCATCAATTTCATCACTTACGATTCAAAGGTCTTTTTCAAGAATTCTTTTGCTTCATTTGATATTCCTTCAGGTATTTCTGGTGAAATAGATTCAACTCCAATCTAAATCAATATAAAAATAATTAATTAGTGAACAATATAGTCTAACTAATAATACTATAATAAATAGTTATTTGAGTCGAAGACCATCTGACAATCTTAGTTATAGTTCGGTCATTAGGAATACTGCGGTGACCAATAGGGATGTCTCATGGTCAGTAAAATCCCGCATATTCCTAAATTAGTGTTGTTAACGGTCGGTCCGGTTTGGTCTGAAAGTCAAACTGAACCGATTAACTTGGACCTCCAAGTCGAACCGATGGGGTCATTAATATCAGTCCCATCAACTTTTTATCGGTCCCATCGACTTGCTTATCGACCCCATCAACACCATCGGTTTGATGACAAGTCAAGTCAAACTGAACTGAACCATGACTTAAAAATCTTCAAGTCAAACTGAGTCGACCTCATCAGTCTGGTTTGTACTTAACAACACTAAATCCTAATCGAACTGAACAATAACTAATAATACTATTTATTCGATATTTCCCCATCATCAGCCCAAGTTAGCTTACCTTAAATATTGCTTGCATCTGAGTAAATTGTGGATATGGATGAGTTCCTGTAAACATTTCTACAATTAAACATCCTAAGCTCCATATATCAGCTTTACTTGTATATGAAGTTTGTTTAACAACTTCTGGTGCCATCCAAAATACAGATCCCTGCAATGAAGGCCTACTAACAGATGCAGTTGCCATAATTTCTGAGAGGTAATAAAAAATTATTTTCTTTTAAGCATTCGCGTAGTGAATCAATATATAATATTAATATAAAAAAACTTACGATCTTCTACTTTCTTTGATATACCAAAATCGGATATTTTGATACCTCCCTTATTATCGACTAAATAAAAATTAAAATTAAGTACCCAAAATCACGTGATAAAATAATCCGCCTTTACCAACATTACCAACATTACAAAATTTACCTAAAACGTTAGCCCCTTTGATATCGCGATGAATAATATCTTTTTCGTGAAGATAATTTAATCCTTGTAAAATTTGTCTATTAAATGATCTAACCAATGTTTCTTCTAACGGTCCATAATTATTAAGCATTGTAGCTACAGATCCACCTGGGACATATTCCAAGAAAATATTTAAAGTTTCCTCATCATGTTGTGATCCTATAATTTAAACCGAATTTTTTTTTTTTAGATATATAATTAAAATTTACAATTTGGCTGAATTAAAAAGATCTTACCAAGATATTGCACTATGTTTTCATGATGTAACTCTTGTAAAAGTGAAATTTCTCTTTGTAATGCATCCAACTAAATAATAAATTTAAATTAAAAAAAAAATTTTTTAAAATTCATCTTATATATCTCAAATGTAATTTACCATGGATTTCTTCCTCTGTTCATTTGCAGATTGTCCAGTTGGTAATTCAACTTGTTTAATTGCCATCAATTCTCCTGTAATAGAATTAAGTCCCAAGTATACACAACCAAAAGATCCCATCCCAATTAAAGCTCCCTTTATCCACTTAAATACTGTCTTGGTAAATGCTATTAATTTAGTTAAATGATATTAATAAAAACATGTTTATTTGTTTTATTCGTATTAGTTATTTACTGATCTAGTAGTAAATGGGTTATCATCCGAAGGATGATGACCCATTTATATACTAGACTAGTAAATAACTTTATCATCCTGGATATACTGATTGGCCCACCAGTTTATACCAATTAGTAGCCAAAGATTACCTTCTTCAAATAAATTAAGTTGATCATCCTCTTCTTCTTCAAAACTATCAAACCCTTCAAATTCTTCTTCAGCAATGGTTTCATCAGGATTATCATTCAAATGAGGCAATAAACTTGATCTCCTTGAACTGTCATCAAAAAGTCTCGAAGTACGTTTTGATCTAAGTCCAAAAGATGATTTAGATGCCATAGAAGCTCTTCTCATAGAATTTCTAACACTACGTTCTAACTCTTCACTATTATGACCAGGAAAGTATTCTGTAAGATTTAATGAAATTAATTCTGATGGAGGTCTTTGTCCAAAGAAATTTCTCAATTTCTTTTGTGATATTCCAACTTGTTGTCCTTGTGGTATACTTGGTGGTTTTTCTCCAAAAAAATTTGCCAATTTCTTATCTCTCATCTGTTTCTTAAATGTTTCATGATTCATTGGAAGATGTTTCTTTCTCAAAAATAATCTTTCTCTTTCTGGACGATCTACACTTTTACATATTGTTTCAACTTCCTCATCTGTTAAACACCTTGCTACAAAAAAAAATTTAATTTTTTTTTTTAATAAAAAATTGTAAATGACAACTTTTGTAAAGGTACTTAAATTCAAGTTTACCTGATCCAGAATCACTTAAGGTTGTAAATAATGAATATCTTTCAACATCATCCTTGATATTAAACTTTTGTAAAACTTTTGCAAGAATAGATTTGGCATCACTAACGTTATTTATTGGAATAATACGTGAAGATTGTCCATCCTCCCCAATTACTTTAATACACTTCTATTCATTTTTTTTTAAAAGAATATGAATCTTTGAAATTATAAACAACATAGAGATTGATTGAAGATCTGTCTATAAATACCTGTTTGACACTTTCAATGGACATTATTGTAGTCTCTTGGATTTGCTTATTTAATAAAATAAAAATTAATTTTAAAAATTATTATTATTATTATTATTATTATTAATTTTCACGTAAAAATTTTAACTCACTTTATTAGATGAGGGTGATTTTGGTATATCACTGGTAATTCGATGGCTTGAATTTTTACGAACCACTTTTGGCAGCGAATCAGATCTGGTAAGTGACATAGAAAAAGAAAATTTATCGGTTTCTGGTGTACTTAATTCCTATATAATATATATAAATATATAATTAACGATAATGAAGTTTTTTTTTTTTTAAAAAAAAAACAAAAGAAAAAAATCAAACCTTGTACAGTAATTTTGAATAAATGTTGTTTCCCATACAACTTTTTAGTAGTGATTTTACGGCCAATAAGATTCTTATGCGTTCACCAATGGATTTTATTTTTAATTCTTTAAGAATTTCGTGATCCAATTCGAGTAAAACGTCACCGTTGATATCATTTTCTATTTGGTTGGTTTTTTTTTTGATTAGGAAAAAAATTTGTAAAAAAAAGTATATATTTAAATTTCATTCAAATTACCAGCAAATATTTTCTGATATTCTTTAAAATTATTTTCTTGTAACCAATAAGAAACTTGTTCAAGTTTCCATTGACGAACACTTTCAAAAGTAATACGATTTTCTACATTAGGTGATGAAGGTACACTTTCCATCGGGGAAATATGAATTTGAGTCATCGTATTTTTTATTTTATTTTTTTAAAAAGAAAAAGTTAAATTAAAATAATCAAATTAAAAAATTAAAAATTGTAAAATATTTTGATGTATATATGTATATTAAATTTTTTTTTTTTTATTATTATTATTTATAAATAAGGGGAAAGGGAAAATGTCGTAAATTTGTTTCGATAATTCAAAATAAAGAGAGAACCCCCTTTTTATAGCAAAATAATATAATTATAGTGTAACAATGCATTCTTCTGTTTTAGCCAAGCCGATCGTATTGTTTTGTCGGTTGGTGATTTTTTTAATTTGATCGACTTTACTGGTTGGTACAAATAAACTTATTAAAAGTATAAATTATGTATGAAGACCTTTGTTTAAAAATGATTTGATTGCGTCAACAGTCCTTCTGTTTGACTTAATTGGTGTTACTAATTGTGATTTATTCTTCAAAAAAAACATATTCATAAAAAAAATGGTTTCATTTAAATAATAATTTATCATTTATTATAAATATAATATGTACTTGTTAAAAAAAAAAAAAAAGAGAGAGAGAGATGTAATAATATAAAAGAATGCAAAATAAAAAATTTGTTGTAATTTGATCGAATTCTCTCTCTTTACAAAATAAAGTCACGTGTTTATCTTCTTAGTATTGATTGTTCAGGCAAGGTTGATAGTAATTGAATTGAATCTCTTAAAACATTTGATGATGGTTCTGAATATCTACTCGTTGGTGAAAAAGTTATAGAGGTTCTTTCATCCTTATTCATATTATTTTCCATCTTTGAAATTGAAACACTTGTTCTATCTGAAGGGGCTAATGTTGCACTTTCGGTTGTATTTGAAACATTATCACCAACATTTTTATTATTTACGTAAAAACTTAACCTAGTTAACCTATGTGCACTGATACTACTACTACCCCTACCTCCTGGAATTTCCGTTTCGACGAATGATAAATTTGGATTCATTTCTCTTGGGTTTTTTCCTCTAATTAAATCATAAACTTCTAATACTACTGATTTTTTAGCAGCAAATATTATGAAAATCAATATTCCTGCGGTTCTATTAAAGAATAATAATGTTATTATATAAGAGTAACTTGGTATATATTCTTTAATTATATTGGCACAAATAGATTGACTTCCTTGATCTTTCAAACATAGTACCCATTTTATAATCCATTCACTTGTTAAAGTTGATTCGGCTAATACTCGGAGTCCAAAAATATAAAAATGCCAATTTAAAACGTATATTATCAACATTAATAAAGCTCCTAATAATGCGCGCCATTGCATTTTGAAGACTGCATGCAAGTGATTCAATTGCCTTTGAGCTTCAATTATAGTAGTACGTTTTGATATAGTCGACGCAACTGAATAACGTCGGTTCGATTTGATAGTTATCTAATATTTTAAGAGTTAATTAATATTGAATGACAAGAGTGATAAGGTTCAAGTGAAAGATTCTAATTTTTACTCACGTGAGCCATATATATAAAAGTTGTTAAATGAGCAGCGAATGCAATATAAATAAAGAACAAAAAGTAAAAGTACGCGGGAGCCGAATCCAAAGAAATAAAGCATATGTTTGATGATTGAATATTATTTGTAAGATAAGGAATTATAAATGCTGCTAATGAACCTCCAAAGATTAAAGCATGGAAACCAATTATTTTTTTGGTTATAAAATCCACGCGCCACACCGATACCTTTAAAAAAGAAAAATTAAATTTTTTTTTTTTTGAAAAAAAAAAAAAAATATTAATTAATGATTCTTACTAAATGTAAATGCGTCATTAAAAGTGAAGAATAGCACGCTATTGCACACGATCCAGCAAGCGTGAAAAATGCTAAATATTTTTTTAAAAAAATTACATACAGGTTAACATATTAATTAAGTATTGAGAAGAAAATATGAATATGGTAATATCGTAACTATACCTTGAACAGCGCAATACGTATTATTTCTTGAATCTGCTGGGGTAATTGCGTCAACGCACTACAAATAGTATAATATGTATAATGTAAACTTTTCTTTCAACATATAAGGCGCAGTTCGCTACTTACCTGACTTTGTTTTTGGTTTATGGTGAAAAATTCAGCTCCTTCAAAACACATCACACTCAAAGCAAGAGGAAACAACATTAACTTTGCTAAATGATTTTTTTTTTGACTTGGAAGTACAATAAAAAAGATGCAAAGTAAAATCATTAGGAAAAAAGAGATAATTCCTAATATTGCAAAACTTTTGTAGATAAAATCGAGTTTGCCTTCTTCATAAAAATTATTAGGAAATGGACAAGCAAGACAGCAATTGTTAACACAATTTTGAGATTCATCTATATGGCCATTGGGATCTCTGGCTATAAGAGGTGAAGGACAATTATCTTTTGATATTATACTAATAGGGTCTATTTGCGCTAAAACTGAATGTATCAGCATAGAAATTATAATAAGCCACGAATTCTTCGTCGATTTCATTTTTATATATGTATATATACTATAAATATGTTCAGACCAGAAACAAAAATCTTTTTTTTTTTGAAAAAAAAAAAGAAAAGGTTGGGAGAGAAAATTATTTAGTTAATTATAAAAAAATTTTATTGAATTTTGCGTATTATCCCTATATAAAAAAATTTTAAGTACCCGAAAATTTTGATAATTAATTAGTAGTATTACTCTCAAAATGTTTATAACTACCGAGCTTTGAGCAAATCTTATCTATCTTAAAGTAATTTAAAGCTAGATTCGGAATTTATTGCTAAATGTACAGTAGATCAAAGTCAAATGCTTCGATTTTAATTAATTCAATTTTAATTTAACTTTCATTAAATTAGTAATTACTCTGATCAATTACTAGGATTTTCATGAATTTTATCGTGCTTTTTTACTTTAGAAGACCAATTAAATTTTTTTTATCTATAAATTATTGTCCCCCCTTTTGTGGAGTAAAAATTGGGTTATTTTATTTATAATATTACAAGGTGATAATTTACATATAAATTTTCATTTTGTAAATCAAAAAAATATGTGCAACAAATTATGTTCAAAGATGGTGTGAACTGAGCAACATAACAGAAAAAATAATTTATAAGTTCCATAAATTCCATAAGTTCCCTGCTGAAGCGCTTACTAAATAATTAAAAGCCTCCGGGTAACCTTGCAACAAGATGAATACACGATTCGTGTTTAATTTTATATTCCGACAGTTTTCTATCATCTTCCAATTGTTTTCCTTTGAATATAAGTCTCTGGTGTTCTATCGGAAAAGCTGTCCTTTCATTATATTTTTTTTTCAAATCGTGTACAGTGCTGGATGGATTGATGATAATAGCGGTTGAACTTTTAGTTGAAGTTGGAACAGTATCCTTAACGAATACTTGTATACCACCTTCAGCCTTTCGAACAAGCCTGATATTCTCGTCTGAACCAATTTTATAATCGGTTACTTTGAGGTTATCTTTAAGTTGTTTATTACCAAGAAATAATTCTTGATTTTCGGTTTTAACTTGGATTAGTTTTTCTACTTTTTGCTTCACTTGAGAGATGGTATCGTCGGAGTTAATCTCAAGTGAGACTTTCATTTTTTCATCAATACATAGAAAAACCGTAAATTTCATCATTTTTTTTTCCTTGTTATTTGATCGTTACAGAATAAAGAACAATTTTTTTTTTTTTTTTTGAAGAAAAATTATTACTTTTGGTTTGAGTTGAGAATATATCTACAAATTCCGTGTCAATCGGGAAAACTACCATAGAATTCTCCATTCATACCAAATAATACGCCAAAACCGGTATAGATAACGAAAATGAGTTTTTTAAAAAGGCAACATTAATGAGTTGTTATTCGTTCCTAAATTTTTTTGTTTAAATATATTTGGTAAAAATTAGTTTAAATACGGAAATTTCATTGTTTGTTTGACTATTAAATAATAATAAATGAAAAACCTGAAAAAAGATTTCATTAGGTAACAAAATTGTTTGTTTTAAGTGTTTCACACACCTCTTGATTCATTCCATTAGTCAATTTTGGACATTCATTTCCTTTAATGATTCATGTGTGAGAAGATTTAAATCTGAAAGAATTCTTTATTAGTAACTAGATGTTAATTAATCTTTTTTTTATTAGAATTTTTTTTGTTCGCATTTGATATTAAATATATTAAATAAAAAATGTCTAATATGTCTGAATGCACTATTTGTTACGAAAGAGATAATGATTTTCGTAATATAACTTCAAATTGTTCTCATCAGGCCGTTGTTTGTGTGAAGTGTGTTAATGAATATATTAAAAATCGGAGCAATGAAAAACAAATCTTTAATATTCCCTGCCCTACAAATGGATGTAATAAATTAATGGAAAGACATGATATTAAAAATTTCGCAACAAAAGAAGTCTTCGAAAAGTATGATAATCTCTCTTTTTTATTTAATAGAGTCCTTATCATGTTTTTTTACTTATTAACATGTTTATTTCTTTATCTTCTTTTTCTATGGTTCAGATATGATGAACTTATTTTCAAAATTGCGATTCAAAGGTTCCCGGAATTTAGATGGTGTAAAGCCCCTTGTGGAGCTGGACAAATCCATATAGGGAAAGGTATCATCTTATATTATTAAAAATACTTAATAAATTTCTTATTTCAAAAAAGTTAATTTAAATATTTCCAATATATTACATTTATGTACAGATAAAACTCCAGTTGTAATCTGTGAGAGTTGTGGTGTGGAATCATGTTATAATCATGATGTTGTCTGGCATGCTGATCAAACTTGCAAAGAATACGATATGAAAAATAAAAAATCAGATTTTGTTACTAAGAATTATATTTCACGAGAAACAAGAGGATGTCCTGGGTGTTCTATACCTATTGTGAAAAATGGAGGATGTGATCATATAACTTGCACCAAATGTGGACATCAATTTTGTTGGCTGTAAGTATTTACTGAATTGTTCATATATAAAATAATTGTCATATATAACTTTTCTTTATTCTTTTATTCTTTGTAGATGTCTACAAACACATCCTCTCCATAAGCCTACATGTGGTAAATTGAGAAAATGGGGTAGATGGGTTGCAAAATTTTCATTTCTAAGCTGTTCACGTACAACTTATTTAGACTCATAAAATCTGTCTTATGTTTATATACCTGATATGAAAAAATCTGTTATTCTTTTTTTATTTCACGATTTTATAAAAAATTGATCTAAATCTATGTATTGGTTCTTTCATTATTATTATACCAGGACTTTTTCAAACTTTCGTAATAGTGCAATGTCTTGGTAGGAAACAATTGTAATTTTAATTATTTATTAAATAACATATTAATAATAAGTCCAAATTTATTTAATTAGTACATAGTCACGGTAAACTTGATCATTCTATCTAACCTGCAATTGTGTGAATCAATTATTTATCTTTATTTTAAGTATCTATACACGTTTCTTATGTAATATTATAAAAAAAAAATCACAAATAGTTGTTGTTTCATAAATGGTGAGTTTTTTTTTACAAATCTTTAAGAACTAAAACAATTGGCACGTGATCACTTGCTCCGTAAACATTCGATCGAATTTCGCTTTCAATTACTTTGTCTAATATCCTTTCGCTAACAACATGATAATCTAAACGCCAACCAATATTTTTAGAATAACATTTAAAGCGATAAGAGTAATATGTATATTGACCCTCAGTGTTTGGATGGAAATGTCTCCAAGTATCAATAAATTTGGATTTCCCTCCATTCAAAATTCTTTCGAAATCTTCCCGTTCTTCTGGTGTGAAACCCGGAGTCCTGTAAGAGTATGTTGACAATATGAGTAACGTAAAGGTATAAACTTACGAAGTCAAAAATATTATTTTATAATCACTTTTGATTAGTATTAGGTTTCGCTAAATCAATTGTTTTATGTGCAACGTTCAAGTCCCTATATAAGTCCAAATAAATTGGGTTATTATTTTAAATATGATAAGCCCTTTCTTCAATATTATATTTATAATTACCCAGCCCAAATCACTGGTTTCTTTTCATCAAGTTGTCTCAAATATTTTTCCATAACTTCATCCCAAACTATTTTTTCTTTCAATCTAGCAAGTTTATCACCCGCATTAGGAACGTAACATGCTACATAATATAATGACTCAAATTCCAACGTAATAATTCGTCCTTTGGTACTTTCGGGGTTTGGATGTGTAGGAAGGCCAAATGAAGTAGAAATTGGTTCAATCTTTGAAAAAACAGCTATCCCGGCTAAAAAAAACAATGAAAAAATTAAATTAAAACAGTTTTTAATATATTATGTGTTATAACCTACCGTATCCTTTTTTCTCATCAAAGCCCCACCAACGATATTTATATTTCTTAGAATCAACTACATCATTAACTTTTTCATTGACTTTTGTTTCTTGAATACACAAAATATCAGCGTCTTCTGCTTCGACATAAGTCTTGAAACCCTATTAATAAATAAACTTATATATAAACTATGAACTATATACCAAAAGAAAAAAAACGCGTTCAACCTTTTTTAAAGCAGCATTTAACCCGCTAACATTCCAAGAAGCGAGTTTTACGGTCCCTTCACGCTTTTCAAAAAATAAACTTTCTGGTATTTTCAAGGTTTTATTTGTTTCGTCTTTCTTAACTTTTTTAGTTGGACGCGTACTACTTTCTGCACTTTCATTACTATGAATATTTTTTTCTTTCACTTCTGGCTTTAAATATTTTTCGAGCGTATTTTGTTTTTTACTCATATTTTGATAAGATACTTTAAAAATGTTTTTAGAAATAGAAAGAAAATTTCGATAATTTAATCTGAAGTTTATTGATTTTACCATGATCCAAACAAGTAATTTTACATGTTGTCTATACCACATATATATAAAAATCTTATTTAGATAAGGTCGTGAGTCGTGTGGCGCAGTAAAATTAATATATTTCAATAAAAAAAAAAGTGGCATATAATGAATTCCTTTCTGGGTATTGAGTTTTACAATAGGATACCCATATATAATTATTAAATAAATAAATGAAATTACAATTTTACTTAAAAATATTTATAATAACTTGTATTTTATTCTTTTAGTAAAATATAATCTTATAAATGTAAATTATTTTTTAATTATTTTCATTATTTATATTTCTTATTTGTTTATAAAAAAGCTTAAAACTTTGCTAATTAAAATTATTCAAATTTTAAAATATCTGAATTAACAATAATTTTGCAAGTATTTAAATTTATAAATAATAAATATCTTTAATATCTTTAAAAATACAATAAAATTTATATAGATTATTTTGCAACTTATGTATAAAAAATTTTTTAAAAAGAAAAATTATATTACTTATTATCAATAATTATCCACTTTATTTAAGATTCTGATCTGAGTTTTTCAGAGACCATTCAGATATTTACTAATATACTGTATTTGGTATTAAAAGTATTAAATTATATTAGAAATATTATAATATAAAATCAGTAAATTAATTTTTAATTCTTATAATTTTTTGGTTTTTATCATATAAAGTTTTATAAATAATCTAGCAACCTGGTTTTTTTTTAAAAAAAAACTTTGTATTAAATTATTAAAATTACACAAATTTTTATTATATCAAAATATAATTTAAGTAAGGTTTGTTTTAAACAAACTATACTATATATATATAGTTTTTTGGATTTCAACTATTCATTATTTGCTATATTTCTAATAGCATTAGTATTTAATTGTATAGTTATTGAAGTATATCTGATAACAATATAGAAGTCAGATAATATCAAGTCTTTTCCATTTTTGACAATTGAAAAATAATTCTATGGACTTTATCTATATTAAGTAATATATTCAGTAATTCTTGAGAAATTGATTACACAAAAATTTATTTGATATCAATACCGTATTTTGCGGGCCACAGTACTCCCTATGCACAAAAAGAACTCCCATTTTCTACCGATTTTATTATTTAATAATTTAATAAATACCTAGGTATTACGCATGATAAATACCCAATTATTATATAAGTTTTATACATATCTACTAAATAAAAACTCACGCAATGGTGGGGTATCTGTATCATACCCGGGGTACTGTGGCCTCGTTATACGGTATATCATCATTCCGAGATGTCAATCAGAATTATAATTTATTTGTGATTGGCCCATACCTCAAATAGTAAGAACTGCATATCAAACTTCACGTGCAAAATTGCAATTTGAAGTTATGTAACACAATTCAATCAAACTAAATCTCAAACGTGGCAGTATTAAAAAAATTTTTTATCGTGAAATTTTTTTTTTATTCGTAAACCAAATTTTACTACTGTATTTATAACTAGATATTAAAACCTTTTTTTTCTTTAATATTTAACAATCATGTCGTCGTCATGGGTGGTTACTGTTATATATGTAGGAGGAATGTTAATTGTGATGAGCACATTTTCTTATATATGGCGTAGACGAAAAGCTGGTAATGTATATTAATAAAATAAGTTTATTACAATTTCTATCTCAAATGAGAAAATAACAATTGGATCGTTCTTCAATTTTTATTAATCAATTTATGAAGAAATCAATTAATTTTTTCTTATATTTTCCTTCCTTCTGAATTTATCTGGATTTTACTCCTCTCTGAATAACTTTAGCATCAGCACCTATCGTACCATGGTTTCCTGATAACACAGCTCTAGATACTTATATTTCTCTATTACAAGCTGATCCTCCTGCCACTGAGCTACAATTAAAATCTGCATTATTGCGTAGAGCTATGACAGATGTTGAAAGGGCAATGAAACTCAGGGAAGATCGTCCAGCTCTTCATTCTTTAATACAAAAGGGTGCTGTGGGTGATGAATTATGGAATTCTTTTTTACAAGCTGAACAAGAACTTCAAAACGACATTATGGAAGTTACTCGAGAAGCTGACACTTTTAAAAAAGATTGGGGTCAAACAATTTTTCATACTGCTAACGAAATGGTTCAACACGAAAAACATAAAAAAATTTCCGACCAAATTAAAGAATTAAAAGATAAAGAAGAAAGAGATTTTAAGAAAAGAGGGGAAAGAGAAAAAATTGAGGAGGCTGAAAATGAAAAGAGAGAAAAGGCTAAATTGGAAAAGGAAAGAAAGAAAGCTGAGGAAGAATTATTAAAAATGGAAGAATCCGAAAAGAAAAAAGGAAAAGATGTTAAAGGGAAAAATAAAAAGAAATAAGGAGGAAAGATTAATATTAAAGATTTAAAATTATTAATATTAATAATAGCTAGTTATTTAGAGAATAATAATGAACTATTTGGACTTAGTTCCCTCAGATATAGATACGAACTGATCAATTAATTCACGTTGTTTAGTTGTAAGTGTTCTACGAAAGCGAAGAGAAAAGTAATTATAAATAAATTAATATAAAATAAATGAGAATCTGAAATCTCTTTCTTACTTTGGTATAGTAACTTTAAAAGTAACGATCTGATCACCGCGATAATTACTATTCGCTTGTTGTATACCACGCTTTTTCATAAGAGCTTGTTGTTCTGGTTGAGCACCCGGAGGAACTTTAAGTTCAACATTTCCATCTATAGTAGGTACTCGTATATATCCTCCCAATATGGCAGTGTAAAATGGAATCATTGTATCAACATGGATGTTTAACCCTTGACGTTTAAATATTTCATGTGGCGCAACATGTAATCTAACATATAAATCTCCTGGAACTCCTTCATTACCAAGTGGCATATTTCCTTGTTTCGGCATGCGGAGCGCGATTCCATCTTCAACTCCTATATAAGAAGTTATAATTTTGTAAAAATTAAATTTTATTAAAGCAATATGTCTAAATAAGTTTTCACTTATTACCTGAAGGAATTGGAATTGAAACAGGTCTTCTTTCTTTGATTTGCCCGTGACCACCGCAAGTGGGACATTGGTTTGCCACAGGTATTTTAGTACCTTTGCCATTACACTCAGGACACGCAGTTTGCATGTGAAATCCAGAATTAATTTGTATAAATTGTACTCCAGTGCCATTACATGTTTTACATGTATCCTTTTTGCCTCCTTTAGATCCAGTACCTTTACATGGTTTACAAGTTGCAACCGATTCTACTGTAATAGTTTTTGTTGTTCCTTTTATTGCATCCATGAATGATATATTTAATCCTACTTCTATATCTGATCCAGTTGAAAATCCTGTACCCCTTGATCTTCTATTAAATCCTTCAAAAAGGTCAAAAAAGTCTGTTGATCCACTAAATCCTCCAAATCCACCAAAACCTGGAAAACCGCCTGCTCCAGTTGGGCCGCCTTCTAGAAAAAAAGAAGAGGGTTTTTAAAAAACTTTTAAATTAAAACTTTAAATAAATAATAAAAGCAACCTGCAAACGATGCTCCAAATTGATCATATTGCGCTCTTTTCTCCTCGTCACTTAACATCTTATAATAACGAATAATGTTAACAATGATACGAATATAAAAAAAAAAATATGTAAATTATAATTACATCATATGCTTCCTGAATTTGTACAAATTTTTCTTTTGATGTAGGGTCTTTATTTGTATCCGGATGATACTTCTTTGCAAGCTACAAGGATTTAAGAGAAAAATAAATTAATGTATATGATTTCTTTTGAAATAGCAAATATTTTTACATACACTATAATATGCCTTCTTGATCTCGGCTTGAGAAGCTTTTTTATCGACTCCTAAAAGTTCATAATAATCCTTTTTGCGTTGTCTAGAAGGCTCTGGATCATAACGATTAATATAATTAATGAGGAATTTTAAAAATTTGGAAATCTTAAAATTTGAATTAAATACATGCCTGTTGTATGAAAAGATCGCTAATATTCAAATAAAAACATATAAATATAAATTTAAACATTTTGTGATTTAATAGAAAATAGTTTCTTTTTACCTTTTGGCTCAATAGAAAAGCTGATCCTATCGTTGGAACAGATTCTATAAATTATTTAAGTTCAAAGAATTTTTTATATTTTATTATAGATTTCGATTAAAACAAATTTGCAGAAGAGTTACTATAAATCCTACTTGCAAAATTATGGTAAAGAGCAGGTATATTACAATGATACAGTCCATTGCAATTAAATTTTATTGGAAAGGTTTGATTTATACTGTTACTTATACATCTCATTGGAACCGAATTTGAAAAAAAATAATTTATTATGGAACGTAAAATATTAAACTTTATTGTTGCCATTTTCCTCAAAAACGAGAGTTTGAAAAAAATAAAATTTTTTAGATAATCAGGACAGTTAAAAAATTTTTTATCTGATATCGATCTGATCTAGCATACCTACAATACGTCATAATAAATACTGTCACACAACTTGTGACTAATGGTTATGGATGTAACCAATCACATTATATCATGCGTTCAAAATTTGATAAATTAGAGGAACGTGTGGTCTATTTGCAAATTGAAATGTACAATTCTATATATTTTATTGACCGCTTGGATTCGAGTAATAACGATAAATGATAAATCAAATGTAAAATGAAATCATGTGATAGTAGCAATTCGTGCGACTCGAGCAACTCGAGTCACTCGAGTGCGCCAGAATCCGAGTGTACAGTTATTCAGATTTAATTCCAAAATTTTTCGCGTTCTTTTAGTGTAATCAAATGATAATCTGTTGATTATCGGTTTGTATAAATTGATCCCCAAAATTTTCTTAGAATTGATTTATTTAATGGCTCATATTATTCGCGGTGTGTTAATAGACCTATCAGGCACAATATACGTTGGCGATAAGGTTGTGCATTAATACCACAGCTTTCTTTCTTTTTTAAGACTTTATTATTATTTATTTATTAACTTTTTAAGACTTAAGGCCTGCGAAGGTGCCGTTGCTGGCTTAAAGAAGCTCCGGCAATCTGGGATACCTGTTAGTTTAATTCTATAACTTTTACCTCTTTTTTATTATCGCTTATCCATTTGAATTTTCTTGTTAGTTCCGTTTTTGTACTAATACAACTATCCAAAGTGTGGAGAAACTAAAAAACAAATTGATAAATCTAGGATTCGAAGTCAATAAAAATGAGGTAATGTTTTTTTTCTCCGCTCAATTATGTAATTTTCCTTACTAATTTTCTTTTCTTCTGATATACATTGTTGAAAAAGATATTCACATCAGTAATTGCATGTCGTAATCTAGTTTTATCACGCGGATTAAGGTAAAATTAATTAATTTATGTTCGGTTTCTTTTTTTTATCTTACTAAAAAACATTGTTATATATAAAGACCGTTATTGTTTCTTGAGGATGCAGCTCTTGAGGATTTTCAAGGAATCCCAACTGAAGAACCAAATAATGCCGTGGTTATTGGCTTGTCACCAACAAACTTTCGATACGAGATGGTTAATAAAAAAGAGTTTTAAATATGCGAAAATAATTGGCGCACATAATGATAAACATTTAATCTTTTAGTTAAACAAGGCATTTCGAATCCTATTTGATGATAAAAATACGCCTCTTATTGCTATTCATAAAGCAAAATACGTTGCTGAATCAGGCAATTTCAATTTTTCAATATCCGATGCTCATTTTAATAATATTCAAGTAACATAAATTTAATTTCAAATAGATGGGTTAAGTTTAGGACCTGGTCCTTTTACAGAAGCTCTAGAATATGCGAGTGGAGTCAAGGCCACTGTTGTTGGCAAAGTAATTATAATTTATATTATATAGCAGTTTTGAATTCATTTTATTCCTAATGATATTGCTAATATTATAGCCGGAGAAAAGTTTTTATGAATTGGCGCTTGAAGATATGAAACTATTGAATGACGCAAACCATGTTGTTATGATTGGAGATGATATTGTAAACGATTTAGGGAGTATGTAAAAGTAAATGAGTATTTTTATATTTCTTCATGATTTATAATATTAAATTTTATTTTATTAGGCGGCGCTAAAGAATTAGGCTTGATAAGATATCTTGGTAAGGCGTTGTTTAATTTTAGTATAAGTAATCATTATATTTATTTATTTATTTTAAATATAATCCCAGTCAAGACTGGAAAATATCAAAATGGGGATGAACTCCGTGACGGAGGCGTAGATTGTCTCTTTGAGAATTTTGGAAAGGGCGTTGATGCCATTTTAGATCAATTAAAAAAATAAACAGAATGTTATCCTTTATATCTTTATATCATTTATACGTTTTAGTGTTTGTGTAATAAAGAAATAAGTAAATTTAAAACAATGACCAAAAGTTAAGATCATCCTATGATTTTAATACTCCGAAATTGTCGATCTTAATCACACGGATCAATTTACGACATCATTATATAAGCCTATTTAAAACCATCCGTACACAAATCAGTCTATTTCTTTTTTCCTTCGGTTTAGTTTCTCAGGTTTCATTTATTACCTTTTCTACTATAAATTATTATGTTCAAAAAATGAAAAGGATACTTCGTAGCTCGTTAAAAAACAGTAATATTGATAAAGAACAGATAATAAATAGCAACCCGTTAAAGAAACAAAAATTAATGATCACAAAATCATCAATATCTTCGCCGCCACAATACACTCCACAAACCTCAGAGAATAATAATGATGCCTTTTCTGATGTACTAACAGTAGATACACCTAGATCTGATGATACTAATACCTTGCATTCAGATACGTCAGATTCTGATACGATAACTGAAGACGATGATTTTCTAGACAAAGAAATAGCATTAAGAGATCAACTTATTAAAGAGAGAGAACAGGTGAAGACCAATGAAACTGTTAACAAGATCATTAATGGACAAGTCAGGTTGATTGAGACATCTTTAACTGAACACGAACAGATTATAAATAGTAATAACATTGTTAAGAGTAAGGATAAAGAAAAAATTGTAGAAGTTAAGAAAGGTACAGTACATTTTTATATTATTAAATTTATTTATAAATCAATTTAACCTAATGTTGATATTTATGATAGATGAATTAAAAATTTTACAAAATATAGTAGTAGATACTGAGGATAAATCACTATCAATATCTTTAAACACTTCTGAAATAAAGTGTCATAGTTTTACTGTAAAATCAAATGTACAAATGATTAAAATTTCACCAAAATTAGCGATATGCTCGGCATCTTTCAAACCACGAATCATTATACATCATCAAGGTAGATTAATTAATCAACATAATTATACAGGAATTTTCAATAATCCTTGTATAATACTTTTGAGAAATGGATTAAATTATGTTGAGATTTTGGTGAAAAAAAGTATGGATGATCTTTTTGATCATGGTGACGTTACAAATGAAGATTCGGATCCTGGGCAAAAGTACTTACTTTTTATTAGGAAATTATAAAGATCTATGGTATAAACATGATTGTTAAAGAATTTGATATTCAGAGAATACTGAAATGATTGAACTAAGATTTTCTAATTTACTTATATCATGCGTTTTTCAATATTTAAAATCTGCTGAATGGTGAATTTTAGAAAGCTAACTGATTTTTTTTTCATAAAAAATAAAAGTGTCTCAAATCGCTCATATTAATTTATTATTATTATTTAAATAATTTATTTTAAAATCTAACATTATAATGTTATAAAATGGCATGCTGGCCATATATTATCGAACGTATTTTAAAATAATCGTCTGATAAGGAACCTTCCAAGGTTAATTGACCGGTCGGTGTCTATATTAGAATAATATTAAATTATCGTTCTAATCAAGTGAAGCTAAACCAAAAGTGCAAATTACTTACCTTTCTAATGGCAACTTTCTCGTTACAAACCAAAACGCCTTCGCCTTTAAATTCTGCAATAATTCCCTCTAATTGCAGTACTCGTTTCAATTCTGTAAGTTTAATTTCGCCAACAAATACCGGATTATCGCTAGCGGCGTATTCTTCAATTGGCATTACATCAAGTATGGGAAATGATGAATCTGGAGGAAGATGTATTTTTCCAGATACGAATGAAATATCGTAATCTTCCAACTATTTATATTTAGGACACAATCATTTTTTTTTTTAAAAAAAATATACACATGTATTTAAGTATTATTATACGACTTCAGAATATAAGTTACCTTTGAAAGTCTCAACGAGCTAACCAAAGAATCAGTTAGTTTAACCTGATAAAAATTAATGGCTTCAGATACATTTAATAACTCTCCAACATCAGGTGTATATATGTCGCGTGTCATCGATTGAAGAGCTAGACAGCTCGAAGCAAAATCATGAGTTGCTTCAGGTGACGCGTGGACGACTATCTAAAAAAAAATTCCAATAGTTTGATAATAAATGAATATAAATCTAAGATAATTGAGTATTATACTTACTAATTTTCTTGGCTGTACTTGAGGTACAATTGTTTTCAATGATCGACCGTCATTTGTACCTTCCAAATCAATATACCTTAATTGACATTGAAAATGTATATTTTCATCATAATATACATATTTTGTTGGTACATTTGAATCGGCAGTTGATTGATCTGCTTTATCGGACTAATAAACAATAAAGAGATGTATATAATGTAAACAATTTACACGAATCCGTTAAGAGAAAACAAACGAACTTAACATACGTCGTCAATATTATCATCTTCCATCCTATCACCACTTTCACCATCAATTACATGCCCTAATCCTTCAATCCCTTTATTCCTGAATTGATCCGCCTGAATGATTTCGCCGTACTCATCATATCTTTTCCTCTTTTCAATATATGGAAACATTAAATAACTTTGAGTTTGTTTAAAAAAACCTCCGAGTTTAGTTGCATCTCTAACATATAGATCAAATTGAGTGGCAAGTAATTCTTCTATATCATTATCACCAAGCTCGCTTTCTGATCTATCAGATTCATCTTCCTCAATGATAGAAAGCGATTTAGCAATGAGGGCTGCCTGTGCTGCTTCACGTTCATTTTTTTTACGTTGTTCGTTTTTATAATCTATAAGCTCCTGACCTTCTAATGGAACTTTTTTTCTAATCTTAAAGTACATATATGATATGTAAATAGCCAATTACATAGTAAAACACCATTATATTTTAGAACCATCCATAAAATACCTCAAGAGACTTTATGAGATCTAATGCAATAGCAGGTTTCACAGGAGAATTAGTATTATCCTCCTCGCTTTTATTTACCCATTCATAATATAATTCTCTTGCCAGAGAGTACGGTGGACCTCGATCGGTTAATATAACTGCATTCTCTGGCGAGGTTCCCCATTCTAAAAATAGATCTCTAGCATATCCTGATTCTAAACTAACATTGCTTGCAATGACAACTTTAGGTTCTGGATATTTTGCTAATTCTTTGTAACGCGTGCACAACCGAAGGTATCTATTTTGTAAAAAAAATAGTGTTAGTTATGATGAATATTAAAAACTTAAAAAACCGATAAATGCTTTACTAAATATGCAGTTTATTTACTTATTTTACTATACTAATTATTAGATTAAGAAACCAACCTAAATTCAAAAGGATTTTCTCTCTTTTCATCGAATTGTCTATTGATAGCGTCGCTCATCCATTCCAACATACTTTTTGCATATTGTATTGTGTTATAACTTTGATAGCTCAAGAATATCAAAGGATATGTAAATTGATTGTATGTCCAATGTTGATCTAATAAATACGCCAATTCTAATACTCTTGCAGATGAATCTGTCGGTAATAACACAGATCCATTGTCTTGCAATGTTGTCTTTATTGTTTCTATTTATTCAATTCAGAATATATCAAAATTAATAATTATAAATGATAACCCGGTAATATAATCACGAATTGGAATATTCGCTAACTTACCGAACAAAGCAGCATCACGATGTTTCCTTGCAGGATGACTTATAAGAGAATTGTACGTGTCTGTTATCATCAAAGTAGGTCGACTCAAAGCATCAAGAACAACACCATCTTTATGCAAGACGGTACCATCTAGATGTCTTTCCTTCTTGTGATTATAGTCAACAGCGTACACGATCTCTTCTGCATCTTTCTTTATCTTCCATATTGTACCACCTATTGTATGTCCTGCAGCATATGCTGTAATCGTGATGCTTTTATACTTTCCTTTATTTAATCAAATAAGCATTAAATTTAATCATTTAGTGAAAAATTCAATGATATTTTAAACATACCCAATGAACAAGGTTGTGAATATTTTAACGTGGTGATTTGGTCAAACGCAGTATCAACAGTATTTAAATCAAAGGTATCAAAATCCGACTCATTTATTTTTGATTGAAAAACATCGTATAAACACATTCTTCCCATATTCAAAACTGGTAATGTTGCATATACAGGACATGAAAGTCCAAAATGTCCATAAGCATATGGATATGCTCCTAGATGCTGTAAATCAGGGTGTGATAGTAGAAGTGCGTCCACTTGTTTTGCAACTCTAAATGGTAATAGGATATTAACTTACGATAGGACGTTACAATTAAAATTAAGTTAAATAGTAACCTTCTCAAATTTTTTAGGTCTTCCACATTGAATGCATCATTCCAGCCACAGTCTAGCATTATCCGTACCTCATCGTCTATTTCCACAAGATAACAAAGGGGATCTTCATTTTTCGCGCCCGATATTGCGGTAAAAACAATCATTGATTAACAAAATAAAAAAAAAAAAAATCTTCGAAAAAAATGGAGTACATCGATATGCAAGTAATGCAAACCGTGATCTTCCTTTTATGGAAATCCTTGATGATGATTAAAACTTCGGAAAACATTCTGATCGCGTCATTTAGCCTTTCTGATAGTGTTTTAACCACAGAAATTTCGATATTTATATATGATTATTACGACGTTTTGCTTAATCTATATTTAATTTTTTTTTTTTTACATATATAAAAAGTGAAATATGACATGCTTTTAAGAGAGAGGAATTACGCGAACTCAAACATTTTAATGCGAGTCCTGCACCATATTATTTTTTTGTTCTCTGAAAATTCCTATAGCTAATTGATTTCTATCTATCACTAACTACTTTTGTAATCAGAAACAAATATATTTGACCATGTAAAAGATTAAGTTCCGCAAGTAAACCTTTCTGAAATGATCGGGTTCTTAAAAGCCATTAATAAATCATATGAGATGCTCATGAGCAATTAAAAAAAAAAAATATTGACATCGAAAGGATCACACTTTATAGACATGTATATGCTTTAATCGTGAGCTGTTCTTGCTAGTAAATGTACTATTTATTTAATCCGATAGTTCTCACCAAAGTGATTGATCTTTAATTTATCAATATTTATTTAAATGATTTATTGCAGTTGTCGAATAATCATGGTATCTCAGCATATAGTTTACGTGAAACAGATTAATAGTTTAATTTAACTCGCTAACTTGTTGAGGAGCTTGTGCGTTAGCTGCATAATGAGTAATGACAACCGAAGTTATTAATCTACAAATAATGGTTACGTGAATTACATGTCACTATTACTCGAATGTTCAGTCAAGGAAAAGTGTGAAGAGATAACAATTTAAGGATAAAGAATAGTGTCCTAAAGATATGTTACCAGACAAAATTCTATTTGTGTGCCATTCTTCTTGAGTAGTCATTTATTTATGTGGAACTAGAGATATTATAACATTACTTCGAAAGTTCGAAATTTAAATAATTCTGTTAACGGTCTTAATAAATCTACAGGCATTTCCTAATTTCTAGTAGTACTATGTACAGTACCAGAAATTCTTCCTAAAATGGTAAATTTACATCTATAAATCACAATAAAAAAAAACTGTTATAAATTGATGGCCTTCGCGTTGATATCGTCAAACTTACTAATATGACTTCCGAATCAAATGAACAACCACCAAAGTATACTTATACTCCATTTCCGCAAACAACCACTGTTCACCCTCTCCGACCTTACTATGTACCCCAAGATATGGATCATTATTATACACCTTTCGGTAATAATACTACTAATTCAACGGAAGTTCAAAATGACATGACAGATTTAGATTCTCAAAGTTTATTAAAGGATTTGGCAAGTTTAGGATTTATTAAATACGTTGGAGTAGGCTTTTCACATCCTTTTGAAGCTGCAAAGACTTTATTACAAGTCCAATATTTGCCAAACGAAGATATTGTACCAATGGTTGCTGAAAATACGCATGGAAATAACGGTTCGGAGGAGGATGTAATTAATAATTTTATTAATTTCTTCAATACGTAAATATATTGAAAATTAATTATATTATTACAATCATAGCTTGATGATGATGATGATGATGATGAATTATATGTTCGTTCTTCACAACCTCTCGATCCAGACGCTCCTGGATTTCGTAAAACTAAATCATCAGATAGCCAAGGTTATCTTACTACTAATATTTATGATGCATCAACACGACCACATTACATGTTACCTCCATTGGAAAATGGTGTATGGTCAACTTTAGGGGCATTAAGAAGTCATAATTCTGAAGGATTTAGTTCACTTTGGAAAGGTAAATATTTCATGATTTGCATTATTCAAAATTTTTATTACTTATCACTATTTGCGTGAAGGACACTTCGCAAGTTGGCTTTATGATATGGGCCATCTCTTTCTCCAGCCTACACTTGAAGGCGCATTGAACGATGCATTTGATTTATATGATGATACAATTCCACTGATTTATTTGGATCGCGTCGGTCCTAATATCGCTACCTTAGTAACCAGCCATCTTGTAGTTGGAGTACTTTTAAGTCCTTTGGAGGTTATACAAACAAGGTAATACAACTCATTATCGGAAGTTATAGTTACGAATTTTTTTAAAGCTTATATTATGATTTTATTTTTTGTTAGGCTTATTGTACAAACATCATCACCAAATAATAAAAAGTATAATGGTACATTTGATTGTTTGCGCAAAATGATTAAAGAAGAAGGATATTCTTCTTTGTATTGGTCCCATAACCTATTACCATCAATTATCTATCATACAATCTCTCCATTATTGGAATGCACAGTTCCATTAATTATAGATCGTATATTTCATATTTCTCCGGTCGATTCCCCATTTTTATATGGACTTGCACAGCTTGGACTTAATACACTCCAATTGCTCATAATTTTACCTCTCGAAACTGTTCGTAAGAGATTACAATGTCAAATCCGATCTCGCACTCCAGACAAGCCATTTGAAACAATTGTTCAAACGCGTAAAGCTCCTTATGTTGGCATATTAGACGCAATCTATAGAATAATTATTGAGGAAGGCATCAGTCAAAAATACATACCTACGCGTGGAAACGTTCAAAAACGACGTAGGCAACGTGGATTGTTAGATAATTATGGAATTAAAGGTTTATATCACGGATTTTATATTCACTTTACCACCAACGTGACTACATTTTTATTTCAAGCTGTGAATGGTGTTGAAGATGAATTTGAAAATTATTAGGACAAAAAATTTTTTTGTTTTACACAAAAGGATTATTTAATGATGTATTAATAATAATGTCTGGATACTAAATTAGTTTTTGAAGATAAAATTATTTTCCAAAATTCACGTTATTTATTCATTCAATAAAATAGTTCATATCATACATATTTAACATCATAAAGATGAAAGTTCTGCCATAAATTTTCGATAAAGACCTTTTATTACAATTGAAGTAATCATTTCGTTTTGAACACTGTTTGAACCAAGATCCTTTGGTTCCTTTTACTATCAGTATTATAATCTAAGCATTTAGAACAACTAAAGCGATTAGCATAATGACATATGTCCAAGTATCAACAATTTTGTTTTCTCTTAGTCACATTGACCTTATCTGTCAAAGATTGATCTTGACTGATACTGACCTATCAAGACCGATACTTTTGCATTAATCTGTGATTCGTACGATTACCATAGGTTAGACACGATATTTGTAATGCACCAATGATATTTCAACTTCTAAAATACGCGTTAAGTATCGAGAAACAGCTCAGTTTCGTCGTTCTTAATAGCTTTTTGATAAATTCCGTCACTACCAATATTGACTACTTGTTTGAAACTCTTGTTTATATTTTGTTAAAATTGTCCATAGAAATGTAATTGATAATATCATGTCGCAAATGTCACAATTATAATATTCACACGGTTTTTAACAAGTTGACTCCTAATTTTGGAAATTTTAATTCACGTAATAATCTAAACCACAATAGATTCATTTTGATAACTTTAATATGAATGGAATCGCAAGTAATAAATAGGGAAAATAGGAAAAATAATGTAAAGAAGCCTATAGTGAAACGTAAGGTAAAAATAAAAGAAATATGATAGAATCGAAGAAATATTTGAATAAACTGATAAAGAAAATTTATTTATTAATATAAGAAAACAGAGAAAACATTTACTGAGAATAATAATCCTACAATATTATCTTCACTTATTAAAAAATTTAATTAATTTAATTTTGGGCATTGATGGATAATCAAACTTTTAATTATCATAAATGTATTGATTGTAATATCTTTTTTATTTTTAAATGGTTGAATTTTAGTCCATTTGATCATTCAATTCTTTTTGTAAAATTAATTATTTTCTTCTCGATAATAAAAATTATACGTGGTAATTTTCTAATTAATAATAAAGCAAATAAAGTTCTAATAATAGTAGCTATGATACAAGATTTTTTTGTCGCCGTAAAATATTCACGCCAACCTTCTGCCCAAATTTTTCTGTATAAAATATAAATAATTTATTATTAGAACATTTTAGTTCTTAAATAATAAAAAGATTTTTTTTAAATAATAAAATATTAGTAATACCTTCGTGTTTTTAAATCGGACATTCTTCTTTTATAATTCTTACGATTATTTCTTAAAAAAAACCATACGAAAAAATTCATGTCCCAATAATCAAATTTCGGCCTTTTAGCATCTAACCTTCGAGGTGGTATTTCATTTTGCCAATACATCACGTCTATTAAATCACTCGTCACTTGTAGCGTTATTCCCCATAATTTTAATTTTTTCGTCGTTATTCCATCCACATCACTATAAGGCAGTCCAATACAATGAAAATGCATTCTCCCTATAAGCGTCTTGAATATATTCTGTAAGATCCAAGAATTCGGTGCTAATCTTGATGATAAATCTATTGATACCGGATCCCATTTTTGTGTAATATTGAGATCGAAGAATATTGAAAGTGGTATCCAATGAGTTGATGCTATTTCTGATCCAGAAATTTCAATAGGTGGAGTCTCTTTTGTAAGTTGCAAAAATACTAAAGTAAAAAAAAAAAACCGAAAATAAATGTTGTGTTAATAATTAAATCTAGGAACTATATTTAAATTAATTTACCAAAAGGACAAAGAACCATTAATAAATTTTTGCCAAAAGTTGAAGTTATCTCTCTTTCATCCAAAGCTCCAACACACAAAAATAATTCTCGGTTTCCAATATCTAATCCAACTATTAATAGTAAATTTGATGTTAGATATACTGTAAAATAAGATGTTTCAAAATATCAAAAAAAAAATTTAAAACATTGCTTCACCTTCTTCAAATGTTTCTCTTTCAGCTGTATCCAAATCATCAAAATCCGTTTTATCTTGTTTACCTCCAGGAAAAGCAATTTGACCACTCCATCGATCACCTTCCCTTAAAGCTCTTTTTACATACAAAATTTCCGGTTCACCATCTTTTACCCATGGTAATTCCCAAAAATCTTCCAAATTTGTCTTTTGTTCATTATTGATTCCTTCACTTTGTAAAGATTTATTTGTAGAGGATTCGGCGAAATCAAACTTATTATTATTATCGTGAGATAAATTGTTAGGTCTAATACGAATTATTATCGCTACGCTCGCTCTACAAGGTTGATTTGATGGTGAACGTATGTTATATGGTGGAATATTTTCAAGATTTGTTATTAAAATTCTAAGACGATCTAACGTTGAAGAGACTTGCAAAATCAAACTAAATTTAATTTTTGAATGAAAAAAAAATTTTTGAAAGTGCAATCATAAATAATTCCTTTACCTGTATTTGTCATTTTTAGCTTAATCAGGATTAAAAAAAAAAAAAAAAAAAAATTTAAATAAATAAATAAAATTTTTTTATTTGATGATCGAAAAAATTCCACGAATTCCACGGATTATATAGATTTTCATATAGTATCAGGTGATTGTGAGAAAAATCGTTTATAGTCAGTCATTCAATTAATCAAAATAAGATTCATTAAAATAATGTTTGCATTGTTTAATTAATAATTATCCTGAAGTAGATTATCAGAAAGACGTATTAATTACACAAGTAAAAATAAATGGTATAGCATAGTATAAGACAATGCAAAAAAATTTTTGAACCCCATTTTTTGGGGATTATAAAATTTATTTCTCCCGAACCGGTTCTTAAATTTGAGATAAGTATAGTGATGTTTACTTAAGACATAAAGTACCAATCATAGAAAAGCATTAATTGTTTATGAAAAAAGCCCTTAACTATTTGACGATCATGCCAGGTAATGATATCATTATTTAGATCCTAAATCTTGAAGAGAAAAGGTGTCAGCCCAAAAATAATTATTACACAGCCAATACTCCGAATGCAACAACGGTCTAGATGTGAAACTAAGTTCGAATTTTATATTAATAGAAAGATCATTTATCAAATAACGTATATAAAAAAAAAATTAAGCGCCTACCCAGCTATTCGTTCAACAGATTATAAGTTTTTTTGAAAATTTGGTCTTTTCCATGTAAAAATAGATCAATAATTTATATTAATTTTTTCTTTAAATCGACTATTTCTAAATACTAATGCTTTTAAGTAATATATATCAAAAAGTGTCTTTGAATTAAAACATTATATGATCATCCGTCTAATTAATAAGACTGCATTACTCGAAATTCAGAAATTAGCTTTTCAAGTTTCATGCACTGTGATTAAACAAGCGATTGAAACCTTTTTTTAATAAAGGTTAAACATCAGCTTAACTACGGATTTTTTTATATAATTCGCTTGAGGTTTGTTAGGTTTGTTCGGTTTGTTCAGAAAATACCATTTATCAAGCGAACGAAAGACAGTTGATTCAGGAGATTATTCAAAGGATTGAAGGTGTATAAACATATATATTGTTATATCGGTATTGTCTATACCGTACAATTGAAAAACAACTAGATGATAATTTTCTACATATACTATTATACACCAAAAAACTTTTTTCACATTATTTTTAGTTTGGAAAATAAATAAATAAATGATAATGCTTGATCAAACTCAAGTCCACATTTTTATCAATTTTTTTTCATTTTAATTTTCTACTCCAATTTTCCAATTTTCTCTTCCAGAAATTTAATAACAATATCAGTACCAAAAATTTCGGCATCAACACTATCCAAAGCATGACCAGTTTCTTTATATATCTTACAAAGAATTTCAACATCACCTTTGCCTTTTAAATAGTAATACCAATTTAATCCATCATTGTGTGGTACTCTTTTATCTTCAGATCCCAACATTAATAAAGTTGGTGTTTTAACTTTATCTATGTTATTAATCGGAGAATTTTCATACATCAATTTATAATCTGAAGGTTTAACTATTGGCGGATTTGTAAGTGAATAAGGCAAGCCAATTTCTGAAAAACACCTATAATATAATGTAAAATTAATAATTTATTTGGGAGGAAAAGAACTAATATTACATACCAATCCGGAATATCTGTAATAGTCGCCATACCTGTAATAGATTTTATCTTTAATAATAAATTAAGGAAAAAATATTAAAGAATATAACCATACCTCCAATATTTAATACAGGATTTTTCATTACACAAGCTTTATAAAAATCTGGATATTTCCCAATCAAATGTGCCGAAATAAATCCACCATGACTTCCACCCATTACAATTACTTTATTTGGATCTACAAGCCCGTTATCAATAAAATATTGTGCGGAAGCCTAGGTAAAATGTATATATTAAATTTTACTTTACAAATTATTATTTACCTGTACGATACTTGCACTTCCTTACCTGCACTTCCTTAACTTCAAGATCACCAGCTTTGCCAATTAACGCATCAATGGAATCTTGTCCAAATCCAGTACTTCCAGTATAATTAACTTAATAAAATAAATAAAATCAAATATAAATAATTTCTTTTTTCTTTTTCTAAAATTTTTTTTGAATACAATGAATTATAAATATCATAAAAATTTATCATATAAATACCTATTGCAACAACATAACCTAATGAAATTAAAGTTGTAATAGATAAGCTAATATCTGCCGTAATCACACCATGAGGTCCACCATGTGGACATACTATTAAAGGTGGCTTTTTATTTTCAGAAGTTTCATTAGGCTTTACGTAAATAACCTCTAAATTTTTATTGTCAGGAATTGGTTGAATGATTGACCAGGTAATTTTTGATAAAATTGGTTCAACTATGCAAAAATATATATATGTATATATTAAAAATAAAAATTTGGAATAAACTAAACTAAACGTGATATCTTTTAATTCGTATTTTAACATACCTTCTTCAATATTTGGTTTATCTATACAAGTCCAATCAACTTTTAATGTATCATTTTGATATCCTGTTACAATACCTATATACTATTATAGTAATAAACTAACTAATCACTAACTTATTAGAAAATTATTTACTATCTGAAATATTCAACTTACTAATTCAGGAAAATCATTGGGGGCTCCTCTTGATGCAATAATGTAATTATTGCATGCAATAAATAATGACCAACTTCCGGTTGAAGTAAGATCCTGAACTTTTCCTGTATCCAAATTTATTGCTAATACAACTCCTCTACTTCTCCAACAACTTTGTATTATCAAAAATTCTTTATCGTCAAAGGTAATAAATGACTTTCGTGCCATTTGATCATTATAAATACCAGGAAACCCATTTTGAAATGAATCAGATGGAGTATGAACAATCGGAACTACAACACGATGTGTGTTGGTTGAGAAATTGTACTAATATTTTTTATAATATTTTAAGTAAAAAATAAAAAATCGTAATTTTTTTATGAACTGATTAAAGCTTCATTTTACCTCACGAAGCTCAGAACAATAACTATGTGGTCCACTAATTGGATTAGAATAATAAGTCTATATTATAAATATTTATATTTTTGGTTATTCATTTGTTCAATTTAACTAATGAATAAATATTTTGGATAAATATTTATACAAACCAAAACTTTCTCGGAAGGAGCAAGTCTTGGAGAACGAGCATGCTCTAATTGCTCAGTCAAATGAACTATAAAATACAACTAATTAATTTTGTTAGCCTACATATAAAGTTAATAGATGATAAAAATCATACCTAAATCAGTTCCATCAAGTTTAGTTTGATATATTCCAACCCTAAAATAAAGTATTAATCATAAATTTATATATTTATTCAAAAAAAAAAGAAAAAAAAATTAACATACAATCTGTTGATACAAGCATAAATTCCATAATAACGCGGTTCTCTGTTATATCCATTAAAGATAAGTGTCTTGTCTCCCGGGCCAAAAAATACCTATTTATAAATAAATTTAATAAGTTTAAGAAATATACGTATAATCAATAAATCCAACAAACCTGTCCGGGAACAATTTTTTCAAATTCAGGCAGAACCTCTACTTTACTTTCCAACACGTTCACAATAACAATAACGGATACGCGTTTATTAACAAATTTTTCTCCCCATCCGGGAACGAAATCACATTTCTGAAAAAAATATACAGATTAGTATGAATAAATAAATAAGTTAAATCCAAAAGTAAGTATATACTTTTTCATCTTTTTCGTCCAACGCCTTTCGTTCAGCAATATAAACGGCCTTTTCTTCATTTTTAGCCCATTTCAAGCTTCCAAAAGTTCCTAAAGGAAAAAAAAAACGTTAAATCTTCATTCTTAAAAAGTACAAATTTTAAATTAATATGTTACCATCGGAATAAAAATCTCCGTGACTATCAGTTACATCGATAGATTGTTTCAAATTTCCCTTATCCCAAATCTAATTTAAATATAAATAAAAATTAATGAATTTTTATTAATAATAATGATAAATTAATTAACATTCGCACCTCAACAAAACTTTTTTTTCCTTTATCATTTGAAACACATCTTAATATTAATAATTTATTTCCACTTGGCGATTCAGCTTGTAAAACTACATCACCTAAATCTATAGGTAAAAATGATGAAGTTATAACTTTCGCTACTGTATCTGAACTTCCTTTAGTTGGTAATGATACAACTAATTGTTTAACGATCAATCTCTTGAGTTTTCTTTTCAAGTCTCGTTGGCTTAAAATAACCTGAATAGCTATTTTGGATAATAAAGTTTTAGAGTTAGAAAAAACGAAAAAAACTTTATATTTTAAGTAATACTTACAAAGTACGGAAGGATTATCACCATTCGTTTCACTAGAAAATGTTTTTACACCAGCATAAGTTGGTATCGTGGCTAACAATTTAAATGTTTTTAAACCGATGCTATCTTCTTTTTCATTATTATCGTCAGTTGTCTGAACTGACTTTTCACTGACAGTCATGGTTTCATGTAAAGAGAAATTTTTCATTGATAGATGGGTCTATATATGCATGTTATCAATGCAAGATTGCCGATCATAGATTACAGTATATACCAGGATACCACGAGTTTCTTAAAATTTGCTTCAGTTATGAGCACAACCATTAAACACACCTTAAAACTTACATTTTATCAAAAGCTTTCTCTCCCTCACATACTAAGACGACAGTTTAACAATAATGTTGTGGTTCGACATGAAAACCCTTTGGTATAAATACAGCAAAAATATTTTACTTTTTTCTTCAAGTATACAGGATAACTTTTCGTTTAACAGGGCCTGCCTTTACAAGTCAATAAATTGAGAAATGATAGCAACACTGCTACAAAAAAAGGAGTTGATATGGAAGAGAGAATGCGTCATGGATTACCGGCCAAACGATCGATACGTGGTGTAAAACATGTTATCGCTGTTGCATCCGGTAAAGGTGGAGTTGGAAAGTCCACTACAGCTGGTAACCATTTTTTTTCGTGAAAATAATTAATTTATAAACGTTAATAATTGATTTTTTTTTCTGTAGTCAATTTGGCACTTGCAGCCTCGTCCTTTAGGAAACGTGTTGGTATTTTAGATGCAGATATTTTTGGTCCATCCGTGCCTCGTTTAATGAACTTAAAAGGTGAACCAAATATAAATGAGCAAAGTACGTAAACTAGTAAAATTTTTTCTTTAAAAAAAAGAATAATAAATATTTATTTGACATTTTGTAAATAACAGATGGAAATTTGATTCCACTTGTAAATTATGGAGTCAAAGCAATGTCTATGGGATTTATGGTTGGAGAAGATTCACCTATCGTATGGAGAGGTCTCATGGTACATATTTTTATTCAATATTTTATAATTTAAATTTTATATTTAAATATTCTTTCTTTTATTAGGTTATGAAAGCACTTCAACAATTACTTCATCGAGTTCAGTGGGACGAACTTGATCTTCTTGTAATTGATATGCCTCCAGGAACAGGTGATACACAATTAACAATCAGCCAACAAGTTGAATTGTCCGGCGTTGTTATCGTATCTACACCACAGGATATAGCACTTATAGATGCTAAAAAAGGCGCAAATATGTTCTCCAAAGTTAATATACCAGTAAGCTCGAACTACTTATAATCTTTTTCTTATTTATTTTAAAAATCATTTATTTATATATAATACTTAAATGATTAAAATATTGGATGTAGATTCTTGGAATAGTACAAAATATGTCAATTTTTGTATGTCCGAATTGTCAGCATCAAACTCATATATTTGGTAAAGATGGAGTTATTAAGATATCCAAAGATCTCAATATTGATTTTTTAGGTGATATACCATTGGATATTAATATTTGTAATTTATCAGATATTGGAAATCCAATTGTTGTTGCTAAACCTGATAGTATATATGCAAAATATTATAAAGACATTGCTCTTAAAGTTATAACAAAATTGGAAACATTATAGTTAAGCTAATTGCTTTAGAATTAATTATTCTTTAATAGGGCAAAAATAAATGTATATGGTGCGCTCAGTCTAAAGTCAACCAAATTTATAATCATATCACGTGAAATGAATTTATTGGTTAACGCATGTTTATAACTGTTCTACATTTGGGAGGAGTTAAATCACGTAACTACAGACAAAATTGTTTTTTCAAAAAAAAATTTCCTCACATATATATGATTTTTATAAACCATATATTATGTGCATTTAAGCCTGCTCTGCAGATTTATTTAGAGTATAAAATAAGGTTATAAATGCCATTTTGACTTAATTGACTTTTTATTTTGTTAAAAATTTATTTATCCACTTTGGATATGATTGCCAAAATCCATTTTGCTCATATGTAAAGTAAAAACAGTTGCAGAGCAGGATAAAATATACTTATTTTATGGTATATTAATCTTAGTTTATGAAAAAATTAATCAAATTATATTGTATTAAATCATATAATTTAACTCTGCTTCAGATACTCCCTACATTTAGATATGCTTTACAAATGGTATGATTTATTTACAGTTTCTTTCAAATTATAATCATCTCAAATATTATCATTTTTAAAATTATCAAATATTTTATCATCAAATTTTCAGTAATTTGTTTTAAATTGCTTACTTTTTTATGGTATTTTGCAGGAAAATATATTGCTTTTAATACTGATTGGTATAATGAAGAAATAGGAAAAATTACTTTTTAATTAAGATTTATTATAATTTAAGAAATTTTAGTCTAAATAAAAAATATAAAGTAATTAATTAGAGTATATCAAATTTAAAAACTTATAAAAAGTATAAAGTATAACATAATAGTTCAATAATCAGTTATTAAGATAATAGGGTGATTTCATTAAGATAGTTCATTTCACATGCATCTATAGTAGTTTACAAATCAATAATATTAGAGTTGTATTAGTAAATAATTACTTTGTATTTTACATAAATTGATTTATAACACAGTATAATCCTAATTGATCCTAAAGGTAAAAATGTTTTTTGCAAATAATTTTTAATTTAATGGTCTGATTTTAACAATTTTTTTTTTATTTTAATTAGAGTAACAAAAGCTATTAATTAAAAAAAATTATTAAAATCAAATTATTAAATTATGAAATAATATTTTTTTGAATTCAAATCAAGTTTAAATTAAATCTAAATCAAATTGAATCTCAAAGAAAAAGTTTAATTTGTGCAGAATACTAATATAAAATTTCTATTATTTTTTTTTAATTTTAATAAATTTGTAAATATATTGCAATTTAAAAAAAATTAATATAAATAAAAATTTGATATTATTCTTTATAATTATAAAGGTTTAATTTATTAAAATATAAAATTTTAATATTATATAATTTTATAAAATTTTTTGTAATTTGCTTATAATAAATTCATTAATAATTTGTTTAATTTTTTAAAATTTTGTTATATTTATTATACTTATTTTAATATTTAAATCTGAATTATAAAATATAAAAAAAATTTATTATATTAAAAATTTTATTTATAAAAAAATTTGTATTGTATAGTACTAACCTTTTTTTGTTTTTTATAATAATAAAATTATTTATTAGTATATATTAATTTGTTATAATAAAAGTAAAACTGTAAAATTTATAAATATAATATATCAAATAAAATTCTTAATAAAATTTAAAATTTATAATTTTTTTTCTGATTTAAAGTTTTAAATAATTTAATTTTTTATAACAATTTTTGAAAATAATTACATTTAACTGAATGGAAAATTAACTGATGAATAGAATTATATAATTTTTAGTCAAATTTCAAAACTGAATTGTATCAGAATTATACTTTTCGACAAAATGACAAAATACTAATTAATTTATTTTGACAGATGTAATATATTTTGACAGATATAATTAATTCATAGTAATTTTATAATAAATAGTGAATTAGTCCGTTTGCCGAAATTAAGGTTGTGGGTGAAACTCCATAGTAAACGCGAAACTTGACAAAACTATATTAAAATATTAATAAAAATTTGGCGAAACTTGACTATAAAAATCATATGAAATGACAAAACTATAATAAACTCTTATAAAAAAATTGACGAAACTGAGGTTTAGACGTTTTGCCAAATTCAAAAACCAGTTTAGCCTGCAACCTTAGCCAAAATACAACGTAATTAATTAGCGGAAAAGTATAATCAGAATTAATGTAATTCTTTATTCAGTTAATTTTCCCTTCCAGTTAAAATTAGAAACACTTATAATTTTTTAATATAATTTTTTACTTTTATTTAATATTATATCAGATTTTTATTTTTTGCAGATTTTTTTGCAATTGATTTATAAATCACAAATAATTATAATAAATTATTTTTATTTTTTTTAAAAATTTTAAACTTATTTAACTAATGCACTTTATTAAATATATCAATTAACTAAGTATATTTCAGGTAAATCCATCCAAACACTTCTTATATGCAAATGTAAAAAATAAAAGACAAATTAAATTAAACATATATACTTGAAAATTAAAAATTGTAATTAATTTATATTTAATTTATACATAAATTTTACCCATTTCAGTATATTTTAAGTATATTTTAATTAAGAATATTTTAAGTATATTTTTATACACTTAAATTATAATTAAATTATACTAAATTTCGGTAAGTATATTTTAGTAAAAAATTTTTTTATAGGGATTGCATATATGTTAACAGTATAATAAACAAATAATTTTTATTAAAGAAATAAATACCAAATTCGAATAATTGTTGCTCTTTTTAATATCTTATTATATATATTATATTTAATTATGTAATAAAATTTATTTAAAACTTGTAAATATTTATAATTAATTCTATCCAAATTAATGATAATTCTGGTCACATTGTTAACACTCGGTATGGTCTTACTTTAAAAATTCGTAAAATATTCGGAGTAATAATAATAATTTGTTTCTGGACTGGACTCAAGGTTTGCAGCATATAACATTAATTTGCTTTTTACGATGATTGACAATAAGTATTTTACAATTTACAAGTTATAATCAAAAGAAACTTTTTGGTTTTTTAAAAATTTATTTTATTGGAGTTAAATATCTAAAATATCCTTTAAAATATCCTTCTAATAACTATCTCTTGAACTCTTTTTTTTTTTAAAGTAAAAAAAACAAATTTAAGAAAAAAAAACTATTTATTAATCGATTTAAAATTTCAATTGTTCCTGTGTATATATATCTTTTTCAACTAATCCTTCCCGACCAACTTGATCTTTCCCATTCATTATATATATTAAAACCAAAAAAAAAAAAGAAAAATTAAAAAAAAAATTTTTAAAATTTAAAAAATATGAAAATAAAAATGAATATACAGGGGGGAAAAGAAAAAAAATTCGAGGCATAAAAAAGGGGTAAAAACCTGATTGTATATATATATATATTTTTAATTGTTTAATTGTTTAAAATACAACAAAAAAAAAGAAATATATTTTTTTTTTTTTCTAAAATAATGCATAACTTTACTATGTGAAATTAATATAAAAAAGCGACATTCCACTTTTTTTTGGGGGAATATTTTGTAATATATATATAAAATATATATTTTTTTTTTTTGGTTTTTTTTTAAAAAAATGTAATTCGTGATGTATTTATATATATGAAATTATTAAGCGATTTTTTTTTTGTGAATTAAAAAAATGATAATGTGAAATAAAAAATTTTCATTCGTTTTATACAATTGTTGCATTTGTGTCATTTTGTTGGTGAATTGTTTCTTCTTTTACGGTTTTTGTCTCACCGGTTCGTGTATTTACTGCTACAAGTCTATCGACATGATAATAAGCCAATTCTCCTAATTCAGTTTCATCTAAACCTTTAGCTTCAGATTCAGGATCAGCTCTGAGTGAAAGTCCGGGAATTTTATCCATAATAAATAAGATTAAATATGTAACAACAAATGAATAAGCTACACCAGTAACTGAATCAGCGAGTTGATGACCCATTTGTATCCAATGTTGATTAAGCCAACCTCCAGGTAAAACAGTTTCGTCAAGGGCAACAATTTTTTGTTCAGCAAAAATAGCAGTTAAAATATTACCAATAACACCACCGACTCCATGAACAGCGAAAACATCCAAAGCGTCATCAAAATCAAAGATGTGCTTCAATTTAACGGCCAAATTACAACAAATTCCAGCAATGAAACCAAAAGCAACAGCAGCTGGGGTACCAACATAACCAGAACCTGGGGTGATAGCAACAAGTCCTGCAACAGCACCGGAACAGAAAGCTAGAGCTGACAATTTCTTTTCAAGTCGATAATCCAATAAACACCAAGTAAGACCACCAACAGCAGCTGATAAATTGGTTACAGCGATAGCCATAGCAGCACGAGAAGTAGAATTAAGAGCTGAACCACCGTTGAAACCAAACCAACCGAACCAAAGTAAAACGGTTCCAAGTACAACATTAGCAATATTATGAGGTTTAAATTCATCAGTTCCATGACCAGTTCTTTTACCCAAGATTAAACAGTAAGCAAGAGCAGCAGCACCAGAAGAAATGTGTACGGGAGTACCACCAGCGAAATCGAGACCACCCATTTTTGCGGACCAACCATTAAGATTCCATGTCCAGTAAGCAATTGGATCATATACAATAGTTGACCAAATAAAAATGAAGATTATGCTTGGGAAAATTCTACCACGTTCAGCTGCAGACCCGATGGCAAGTGCGGGTGTAATAGCAGCAAACATACACTGATACATGGCAAAAACTATTCCTGGAATTTTTACAGCACCATTAAGAGGTTCAGTACCGACACCCATAAAGAAAGCATAATTTAAGTTTCCGATATAACCACTTGTGCCTGGGCCGAATGCTAAACTGAAACCGATAGCCCACCACTTTTTTTTAAAAAATAAAAAGAAAAGAAAAAAACAAATGATTAAAAAAAAAAAACTACAAAAGAAAAAAAAAAAACCATTTATTTTATCGAAAAGAAACATACCTGAATTGATACTACAGCCAAGGATAAAACACTTAACATTATAAGGGATAATGCATTTTTACTTCTAGCCATACCACTGTAAAAGTATCCGACACCTGGAATCATAATAAATACCAAAGCAGTTGACATCATAATCCATGCTGTATGTCCTTGATCAATATCGTTAACTGAAGACAATGCTGACACATTTGCAATGAGTTCTGTTATATTAACACCATCGAATGGATTAGGTTCTGCAGCAGGAGCAGCAGCGGGAGCAGACATTTTATCTTAAAAGGAGGGAGAATGAAAAAATTTGATTTATCGTAAGAGAGTAAATTATTTTTCAAAAGTAATAAATAATAAAGGTATAATTTTTTTTTTTAATTAATGGACCAAATAATTATTTATTTTTTGGTTGAGAGAGACGAATGAAGTCAATATGGAACCCTTTATATATCATTTTTTTTTTTTAGCGAGAGATAGGAATATAATTAATTATATTATGACTAAATTTATGGTGGTATGTATTACCGAGGATAAATAAAACACACGTTTGCATAATAAATAAAAAATAAATAAAAAAAAAAAAAAAAAAAATTTTTTTTTTTTTTGTGCATCATTCAAACTTTTTTTTTATATGCAGGTTATTATTAAGTTTTGTATCAAAAAAGAGAAAATCATAGTAGAACAATAAAGGTACAAAATTTCAGAAATCGAAATACACATGATATGTGGATACGTGAAATTATCGTTATCATATATTCGATATACCAAATAAGATTTATTCATTATAATTTTTTATCGAACTCTAAAAAAAGGTTTCTTCGGGAATTTTAACGAACTATAAATAAATATGTTTATGTCATATTACGCAAGATCATTCTAAAAAAAAATTTTATACTCTTAAAAGAAAATTTCTTTGTTAAATTCGGAAATTTACCGGGACACCCGTTAAAGATAACAGTTAAAAAAACTTCCTTATCTCGTTAAATTTTCATGACGATCTTTTTTTTTTGGATAACGCGTTTTTTTTTTTAATTTGTGTAAAAAAGAAAATGTATACATGCACGACCCTTAAATCTTGGGGGGTTTAAAAAATCGATTTAAATTCTCTTTCATTAATGTTTCATTATGTTCCGCACTTTTGCTTAAAATCTTATACGAATACTCAAACGTGCGCAAATAAAATCCCTTGTTATTCCAAAATTATACAATTTGACTTTATCTATAACCAATACTTGGATAGATGTAACAAAGATTCTAAACAAACAAATTCTAACCAAAATTAGCCATGATTTTTTTACTACGTGAGTGTGCATATTGATGACAATCACTCAAATACACTAACTCTATTTAGAAATTTTCTTCTTATCAAATGTAACGTAACATAGCATCCGATAAAACAAAAAAAATATTCCCGTTTGTTTCCGTATTCTGAAAGGAATTTTTTTTCGTTAGACTGAGAAAATTAAAAAAATTTAATTATATTATTATCGTTTTATGATTGGAAATTTGAATTCATCATATATTACTTCTATTCTATGAACGAATAGAATCATTTCATTCTATAATGTCTTCCAAATTCTTTTCCCCCCCTAAATTTCCGGATAATTTTTCAATATTATTTATTAGCAGTTTATAATAATTACGCTATTTATGTATTCATATTTATGCACTTATGCATTTACATGCATATATTAACAGGATTAACATGTATGTAGTATATATATAGTACGGCCTTGTACGGCCCTGTCCGTATATCATTTGACATTCAATCTCCGGATATTAAATTTATTGATAAGGGGAATCATACGACTAACCTCGAAACCGGTTTTGTAACATGTTTGTTTGTTCATATCGTCATTGTTCCGAAAAAAAATTTCCTTTTATGATTCGTGACCTTTTTTTTTTAAAAAAAGAATTTTTTTTTTATTTTTGAATGGGAGTAAATATTTGAAATTCTAGATGATATTATCAAAACTGTAAAACAAATTCTAGAATAAAATAATGGGAAGTAAAAAAAAAACCCGGTTAGTAAAAAAGAAATGATTGACATGAAACGGATTCGTCCGCCTAGATACGAAAAAAAAAAAAATTTTTACCATATCTGGAATTTATATAGATTTATCCTGAGTTAAGATCTTAGTAAATTTTGGATACGATTTTTTCTTTCCTTTTTTTTAAAGTCATTAAGAAATCTTGGTTTAGTTAATCTGATTATTCCGCCTCCACTATAATCGTAAGTTGACTCAATTATTTGATGACTCGATTTATCGTAGATAAGATTAAAAAAAAAAAATTGACTCTGAGAAAATTTTGATAAAACTTAAGATTTTAAGATAATAAACATGTTTTTATACACGTTTTTTTAAAAAAATAATATCAGATATGTAATCGTTTACACGCTTTAATTTGTTAAAAATGAACGAAAAGAAATTAATCCATAAATGTAAAGATTCTCCCATGTCCAAACTGTCAAAAAGATAATCAAGGGACTATTTTCTTATCAGGTTTCAAATCAAGTTAATTATTGACGATTACAAAAGATCTGAAATTTCGGCAAGTCTACAGAATTATCAGATTCATGTATTAACTATTATATTTAAGACGCGTTAAAGAATATTTGAAAGTATTAATTTTTATCGTAAAGATCGTAAGATTAACCGATTAACAGATTAACCGATTAATGATTTAAAACATATTATAATATTACATAGAATACAAAGAAAAATCCTTTTATTTTTTAAAAAGATGAGCGCCTTGTGATCAACCTTACATGATCAACTAACAACTATAATGTAAGTATATCAAGGTTTCCTTTGGTTCTCTTAACTTTCTTGTATTGGTTACATGAAGATCTTTTAAAAGATGATCTCAAAATGGTCCAATCAGAATTCAATATCTATTTTCCTATTTTGTAATACTGCGTCGTTCATTTTTTTTTTTTTTTTTTTTTTTGTTTCAGATTACAGCTTAATTTGTCCTTATCTATATTTCCATGATTAACGCGCATTATCGCGAGTCATTTAATAATTATTATTATAATTTTGATCTTTTGACGTTATCGTTATCTTTGTTCCTTAAATTAATCTTTATTTACATGTACCGATTATTTGTATACCAAATTAAATAAAAATATATTATATAATTAATAATCAATTTCAAATAGCTATTACTCAATGAAGAATGATCATTCATTCGTACATTATTTGAAAGAATTTTCTTTTTAATCATATCACATGACGATTTTAAATGGTACATGGTATGAATTAAATAACTGTATGTCATGCAATAAGATTTTATTGCNGGTTTCCTTTGGTTCTCTTAACTTTCTTGTATTGGTTACATGAAGATCTTTTAAAAGATGATCTCAAAATGGTCCAATCAGAATTCAATATCTATTTTCCAATATATACACATTCAATACATCATATTACTTTTCTTTCTTTTTGTGAAGAACATAATGGATTAAAGGATGTCGGAATTCGTAAATTCGGGCAGGAACGAAGGACGCATCGATGCATCAATTGAAAATCTAATTGAGAAAAAGAAAAAAAAAAAAAGATGATGTTAAAAAATTATCGATCATTTTTTATTTCTTTTTTTTTTTTTTGATTTCGTTAATTATTTCTTTTTTAAGGATCAATACAATGTATAATATATAAGGGAGCCTATCCCTTAGGTTTTGTCATTGTCAACCTAAACTAAAATTGCGCGCATTTACTTTATTAATTGTAAACTGAAACTACCTAAAAACAACCGTACGCTTATAAACGAAAAAAAAAAATTACAAAATATTATTTATTCCCCAAATCTTTCGGTTCATAAAAAGGAATGGTAAAATCTCAAAATAATCAAGATCATTTTTTTTCTTTACTATTATTTTTTATGGAAATTGCATGCGTTATCTAGTGTTACATTTATTATGTAACTATTAAAGTGGTGCAACTTTAATTTTTGTTATCTTTTTTGTGCGATGTAAACGCATTTACTCAATTAGGTCAAATTGATAGGCTAAATTTTACTGATTATGCACTAACAGGTTTTTTCTCCAAATTTCAATTGTTTTTAATGACTCGGAGAAACTTGATAAATCAAGATAAGAGAAATCGGATTGATAGATAACTAAATTATATTTAAAAAGTACATGTGATGATTTAATAACCGGAGAAAAAATAAGTTATTTGTCCTAATAATGCAAGCGTAGATGTGAATCTCAGGGTTTCTTAGATTTTTGTTTCATTATAATAATCATTTAATTTAGAAATATTGAGTACTAAGTTATAAATCTATCATTTTGTGCATAACACGTTTACTGAAAGTAAATTTAATACGCATTATAATAATTAATAATAATTAATACATATTGTTTTATTTATTATTAGTCCGTGTTTGTATCTTTTTAATAATAACAATAGTTTTTATATATTCTAATTTAGGAAAATTTCTTTGATTTATTCCAATTCACAAGAAAAAATTTATTTTTTTTTCTTGCATGTTTCTTTATATTTCTTATGAATAAATAAAACACGAACTTTTTTTTTCATCAAAATATTTAACCATCCCCACATAGAAACAATTAATTCTCTTACAAAATTATTTATGTTGTGTTTAATTTTTTTTTTTTTTT